GTATATGTATATCCAAAAAGAAACAAATATAATCGAACATGGAATAAATAGAATAATTTATAATCTCTACACTTTATCGCATAGATTTCTATTTCGAATAAATATATCGTGCGAGAGCTTAACATGTTTCGATCATTAATTACATCACCGCGATACTTTTACAATTGATTTATCGTGATTATTTAATCACGCGGATCGATAATTGCTAATATTAAATCGCTGGTATTTATTAATCGTCACCGTTTCTGATGATTCTCAATGTTCTCGCGATCGCGTTACGAAGGCTAATGACGTATACGCAGCAGCTTACGACTTGCGAGCCACGTGAATGACAGTTCCCTCCCCCCACTCCGTCCCTCCGTAGCGCGGGAATAACAAGGTCGCATACCGAGACGCGTCAATGGCGCGTTATAAGTCCGTGATCGAGTGCCGAATACATGTGTCGTATTAATTGAAAAAACGCGATTATTATACAATTAAGCGTGTCGACAACTATTTATCGAAGTACATATATATAGATATATGTACATATTTCGCGCCAATTTATTTCGATATTTATTAGAGCGAGAAATGTTTCTACAATCTTACGATCAAAATATATTTCGCATCGCGCTTGTTGCGGGTTAAATATAATTTGTCTACCATTATCGGGTCGAGAATGCATAGAGTAATACCCGAGAATCATTGGATCGAATAATTCGAATGAAGGAATAAATTGTGATATTGTAATTTGCTTATCATTAATACATTTCGCGTGTGCATTACGTGAATTTCAACTGTGTATTTTGGAACGATATATCGCGTCTCCATTAGATCGATTCTCGAAATCGATATATCTCGCGATACCAAATTGAAGTTGCCGCTATCGTTACGTCACTCGATATGCATACGACTTCAGATTGTCAAAATATTATATCAGGTACCATAGTCTGTCATATGTCATAGTCTATGTCAGGTGCTAACTTCGCGTGCTTATTAACGTACGTATTTCATGAGATTCAATCGATCAAAGTAAATTGTGTGAGAAACTATATCTTTTCAAATATTAATCGCAACCTGTGAATATTGATTTTTAATTTCGCGATGTTCGTTCTCTTATCGTGACATAAAATAAAGTGCATCTTGTATGATTAATGTCGGGAATGTTATGGTAAAGTGCTGTGCAGTCGTTACGTTCGACCGATTAATACACTCGTAATTGTACTTAACCATGTTTTCATGAGCAACTGAATGAAACATGGAAGAATCAATAAAGAATTAACGAGAAAGAAGGAACAATGTGAGTGAGGTGAGCAAGCTTTAACTTATTTAATTTATAGGTTGTTGTTTCGGAAAATTTAAATAGGTTTTATATCATAATAAATATATGTGTATAAATATTCCCTCCCTTCCTCCTTTCTCTCTCAATTTGAAAATATTTGAGACATTTAATCAAATATTTCTAATTAAAATATTTTATACAAAATGTTTCAATATTGTTTACAATTTATAATTATTTAGATTTTTTATATTAGAATTAAATTGTTATTAAAGATGTTTTTTTGTAAAGTTGGGGAACTTTTCTTATTAAATATCTTTATTTAAACAACAAATAATTTAATTGAGCGCAATAACTGTTTTTTGAAATATTAATTATTTTGGATACTGTTTTATAAGTTGGATATATTTATTTTACAGATCAACATTATATTCTACAACACCACTGTTGCGCATCATACTGGTGAGCATTAAATTATTTTTTATTTTATATAATTTTGAAATAATAGGGAATTTGAAAATTATATATAAGAGAATGAGAGAGAGGAAATATTTAAACTTAATGAAAATAAAAGAAAGGCAAAAAGTATTAAAAATGTTTACACAAGAAAAAAAAACAGGATTATTGTACTCAATAATATTTTTTAAATTATAATTATTATTGAATTTTTCTTATTGGCAATTACACTCTAAGCAATATAATAATAATTTTTGTTTGATATACATATATTGTTGATTTTTTATAGAAATTTTAAAATTGCAATATTTTTAGTTTTTTTAATGTTTCTCTCAAATTTATGTTTTTATTATAACTTTATTGTTTTACGTGTAATCATTTCTGAAAACCTTATTGTTAATATTAGGAAATTCTTCATTTTTGCTTCAAGAACGCTACTTTCAACAAAATATCTTCCTTTAATTTTTTTTAATAGTAATCTTCTTTTTATTACTTTAATTTATTAAGTAATAATCTCATCTCTTTCTATTTTGGCAATTATTAAGGATAAACATTTGTAAAATAATACATCATAAAATGTTCTTACGTATAAAGATATTTGCTTATTATAATCACACAGACTGAATAATAAAGTCATAACAGAAATGATACATAAATTCAAAAATAATAGGTTTGCAATTGATGTTTACTAATAACTTTACATATTTAAATTTACATATTAAATCTTCTATGAAAAGAAAAGTATTTATATATTAACATATAAATACTTGTAATTTTAAAATGATTAGTTTTTGGATACACGTTTAATAAATACTGAAACTTTAAATAAATACTAAAACTATTATGTTTTTTTATGAATAATACACGAATGCAAAATATAAATTTTGAAATACATATATACACACACACACGTACGTATCTATGCTTACACGTGCACTTCTCTTATCTATTTTGCACGAAAAATTATTAGCACGCAATGCTATTAATATGTAAATGCTGAATTGAGATTTAAGATGACTAGATTATTTAGTTTGCTTTGATCGCGTATTTTATTTTTCGAGTCAATTTTTTAAAAGGAGAAAAGAAAAGGAAAAGCAATAAATCGGCGCGCTTTGTACGTCCACGTGATCGTTTAAGAGTTAAGATATTTCTCTTTCAAAGTAGACACTTAATAAAAGCGTTAACATTTGCAATTTCGATGATTAAAAAAATCGTAATGCACCATTAATCGCACTCGATCACTTCTATGTACTTTTCCAGATTATCAGCTGTTTAATCGAAAAATTAGGCTTTATTATGATAAACGTGCCATTTCAACATTCGTATAATAAATATTTAACCATTATCAACATTCGTAATAAATATTTAACTATTAATAACATTCGTAATAAATGCAATTTTGTAATGCAATTTTTTAAAAGCTGTAACGACAGATTATATATACGATAGATTATATTACTATTATACATACCTATATTACGCGCGAAATAGGTGTATACGTTCTTACACGCAACATGGATTTGCGCGATTTGGTGCTTATATATTACTATTAAGAACGAAATATCTTTGAACTATGCGTGCATGTGTGTATGTGTGTATACACTGCCTATACGTAAATATTGTCTCATTGTTACTTGCCTGTAACAAACGTAAATATAGAGCTGTGCTACAATCGGAAATCGTTCGGTCTCTTTATATACTCGCATTGTTAATATATCGATTAGAGCGATTAAAGCAGTCGATGAAATTCACTGTTATTGTAAAAGAAAATGAACTTTGGGTTGCAGTGAAATTTATCATAGTTTATCGCGCGCAATTATCATATTGTTCCAAGAGAGACTAATTAAGATCAATTCAAATATATAATCTATAACTAAAATAATATAATAAAAAAATCTTTGGTTTAAAATAAATAAAAGAAAATAATTTCGTAAAATATTAATAAACTATCTTTGCATATATATATAATAATATATGTGGTTACATAATCTATATAATAGACAAATCAATTTCACAATCTGTTAATGGATAAGAAACAATTTCCTACTTCTATAGCATCTTTGCATACAGCTATTCGGATTAAAATATATGCAATTATATGGAATTATAACAGAAAAAAGAAAGAAAAAACATACGAAATAAAGTTACTTTTACTTAAAGAGAGACCTTAATTAGTCTCAATTGATGTTCGAAGATAAATACTGTAACACTTGCGATATAGGCATAATATCCAGCTGACCCAACCAGAACAATCCTCTAAAGTCAAGCTCACACTGGAACGCTGTGTGATTTTTTCTTAAATACAATTATATATACCACAACATGGTGACAGCATATTACAATAAAAGAAATCGAATGTTCTACCGTTAGAAATATTTTTTCAAAGTTTGATCGCGCTCGCAACGCGCCGACATAGACAGGACAGCAGACTTGAATGCGGCTCGATTTCGGAAAGTACGCTTATGAAATGTGCCATTCGCGTAAGTAACATAATAAAAAAAGAATAATTGTGACGTCCGTCCACGCGAAATTTCACATTTCACCGATTGACACGTTTTATTGAAGTTTTTTGGATTTTTTACACTCCGACACCTCTTTAGCACCGTGTTTGTACACTTCGGTGTTGTTTGTTTCTCTACCGGATCGATTATTAATGATAAATTTGTCGATGAGTTTGAAATTCGTTTCTCTTTGAAATTAAAAAGATTTTTTAGCATTTAACGTTTCTAAAAAATTTGTTAAATTCCTATATATTTTTTAATTACGTCCGAGTAATTTTAGTTTCGTATAAATTTAACTAGAAATGTCTTTTATCGGATTTTAAAAAATTACAATCAATAACATTATTTCTCGTTATGTTTTCGATAAAGAACAGTTAAAAATAAATGATAAATTTAACAGAAATTTGTCATTAACAATTCGTACGAGAAATTCGGTACAATATCTTCCGTTTTGTGATCGTCGACATGCTGTGATAAATTTTATTCTCAATTTCGCGTAAACACGCGAAAACCCTGTCTGTCTCTTTCTCTCTCTCTCTGGCTCCACGTGATTATTGCCTCATATTTTTGCGCTCACATTAAGTCTGACGTTTCTTCTCGCTTGCGAAGCGGTCGAACCGTTTTTTCGGCAATATTATCACAATCGGGGAACATAGTGAGAGAAAGAGAGGAAGAAGGATACATTAGAGAGTAAGAAAAAAAACGCTTCGATCGCTTCCGAACCGAGGGTCGTGTGTATTCTCACGAGAAGTAAAACAAGAAATTGTGTGTGTGACCTTTTATAGGATGAAGAGAAAAAAGACAGCAGAAAAATCGAGAAAATTGATGAATTACCTAGCGAATTCGAGTGTTGCTTTTGTACTACGAAGGTATTTACGATCACTAATGTTTTTTCTCAGGCGGCACTACATACACCAATGGGCTGTCGAACGAGTCTATAGTATTTGAGAATATTTAATTAGCCGCGCGTGATCACGAAAAAAACTCTATTTTATATTTAAACGTGAGAGCGCGATATATATATACATATATATATTTGTATATATATATATATATATATATATATATATATATATATATATATGTATATTTTTTTCTCGCTCTGCATATTTCGTACTCTTCATCCGGGCACAAACATTTCGCCCGTCCGGCTTTGCGCGGGCATGTGAATTTTTCTTTTTTTTTGCCTTAATATTCTCTCTTTCTCTCTCTCTTTCTCTCTTTGCTTTTCCCGAGAAATCGAGGACATATCTATCATTCTGCGCAAATCCAGGTCTATACGCTCACCGATATGCACACTCTTTACATAGTCCACTGGGTGTATGCATTGCCTTCCCTGCCACCTCTCCTAAACGGAGCAAGCACTACTCTTTTTTTCATTGATATATATTCAACACCCCTCGTTCATTCTCAAAAGCTTTAGACGCAACCGCAGCTCGTCACCTACCAAAACTTGCGTGCCTAACACACGACATTTTGTAGGTCAAGGCACACGTGGTGTTATCGCCTGTCGGGGCGGTCACGCCACGCGCCGATATGCGCGATATGCCTTCTCGACACCACCATTTCCCTTGATACCCTCCAACTAGAGAGCCAAATATACTTTAGAATCGATAAAACGCGCGCGTATATACCTCATGTACGACGTGAGGATAATTTCCTGCCTTCAAGTTTAAAGTTAACGAGCTGCCGCACGCGAGGTTTGCCACTCGAGTCCGTTCCCTTTACTCTGATTAGGAATTGCCAGGACCTTCGTCTTCGTTTTTTCCTTCAAGAAAATCGCGCGAAGATCACTGCTCGACTTACGACTCATTATCGAATCGTTGTCAGATTAATTGCTGAAAAACCGTGCAACCTGTTACTGATTTTTATATATGTTTCTTCGACTTGATATTTTTAACGGAGAATAGATATGAAATATTTAATCGATTTTTCTTATCAGTAGGTACATTATTTATTTTTACAATTAAGTAAATAATTACGAATAATTTACGCAACAGATAATAAACATTTTATGTTTTTTTATGTTTTTAAATATCTCATAATGCTTATTTAAATATAATTATTTAAGAAAGAGGACTCTCTTCAAAAATGGTTTGCCAAAGTTTTATTTGATTCTACTTTTTCATTATAATTAACTCTTCCATTGAATAAGTTTATTTGTGAGAAGGCAGGAAATTATTCAAAGTCATTCTTTGTAGACAAGCATAAGATGTATTTATTCGAACAGAGTATCTCAATAGAGAGATTATGTGTATATAAAGATATTATACTCGCCTCTTTTCGAATTTCTAGTTTCACTAAATCACTGGTATAAAATGTACGTATAATTGTCCCGAATTTCATTCACTTCATTATCTCACGCAGCACGATTGTATACTTATCACGCGATCAAATTAATTCACAGGACGAGATTTTTACAACGCACGCTCTCTCGTCACATCATTTTTCGTAGTACGCAATTATAGAATTAAAAATGTCATGTTATTTAAGTAAGTTTAATATAGAAGCTCCTTCTTTTTAATATTAAATTAAATGAAGTTATGAAATTGTAATATACATATTTCATAAATATCTTTTTGCATAAATTTATCTTACAATCTTTGCATAAAATTGTTTATTATTTATTCAAAAATTCAGAAAAATTGTTGGAAAATTTTCTAAAATTTTATCATGCATAGTACTAATCATATTGCATTACGAAGAGTAGTTTTTTTTTTTTACAAATTTAATTATATAAAATTTCTTTTACAACGTATCAAATTTTGTATAATTTGTTTCAACAAATCTAATTATTTAAAGGAAAATAAAAATAAAAATATATTTTTATACTCTATATTAAATGAATATTTACAAACCATTTCAACAGCTATTCATTATGAGCAAAATTTGAAGAAATCTCGTCCCACAGCGATGACATGAAAAATCTAGCGCACATATTAATTTTTTTCAATTGACGTAATTATACTTAATATTGCTATAAAATAATATTCCATAAAACTCTCGAAAAATCGAGAAATGTTATTTCGTTGCCAATTGTGCTTATAATGATATGACTGCGTGAATATCAAATCGTACTCGAATAATAATTAATTTATGAAATATTTGTTGATTGAGCAAGCCGAGTAAAAGGCAACGCTCGATTTCCATCAAAATAAAAGATATTCGCGAAGCGCACAGTATTTTAATTTAATTTTTTTTTTTAACATTAATTCCGTAACAAAAATTCTAACATCCGTTTTGGCATTATAATCAAGATTTTTTAAAATTAATAATATATTATTTGAGATCTTAAATTGTGCATATACAAAACATCGTAAATTTCAGTACTTTCAGTGTTTTTATGACTAAATATATAAATATGTATTTCTATAAGATGCAAACGAAATAATTTCTCTATGGAGAGATAACTTGTATCACATTAATTAAATAGTAAAATAATCTGCGATATCATTACGTATATAAAATTCCTGAAGTACAGAATTAAAAAGTATTTACATTTCTCATCTTACGATTAAATAAATATCCAAAAATATTAAATTACAATTAACGAATCGAACAGATTTATATGAAACTAATTGTTGAAGTAAAAAAATATGATCATAATATGATATAATTTTTACAATTTTTTTCTATAAAATAATTAATAATGATTCTTTTTCTATTTTTTTAGATAATGAAATATACGATACTTTTGTATTGTAATTTACCTTATTTTATCAACATTTACTTACAACAATTTTATATATTTTTAAAAATTATGAATTTAATATCTGTTAAAGTTGAAGAAATTTTGTGAATTTTCACAAACTTAAATTTTTTTTATATAGATTAATATTTTTTTTTAATTATTTAAAGCTAAACTAAATATTCTTAACAATAATATTGTACTCTCCTTCGCGTAATATCGAAAAATATGTGCGCTTCGCGCGTGTATAGTACTCTTTATGGTATATGATAGCACGTACGAGGGACGAGAAACAAGATCAAAGGTGACAAGGTAAACTTAACTTTTTTTTGATTGTCACATGTACGTCTTTTTTTTTTACACACGTATACACGCAATATACACAATACATATAACGTTTTATAGTACGCACATATGTATTGTCGTGCAATGGAACGTTGATGCATTTCTTAAATACAACTTATCTATATACGTCTCCTATATCATTCACCATTTTGAAGCATGCTTAGAGTGGCAACGAGCAGCATGTAGATGTATTAACAAAGAGACTGTAGAAAGATCGCGCATCTGTTTCCTGTATTCGATATTTTAGCAACACAGAAAAGTGCTTCAGAAACGAAATCGCGATTAAATGATTTTTTTTTCTTCTCTTAAGTAGATGTAGATTAAGCAGATGTATGCGACATATCAATATCGCACATATCCGGACGTATAATTCAGGCGAGTATAGTAGATAGTTGTCTCAGGCGTCAGTCACTAGAAACTATTTTACTTATGTAGAGAAAGCACGTTCTTCTGTAGCTTCTTTATTTCTTATTGTCAAACTATCGCTTCGCGAACGTTGCTGATGAGACGAGCGCATTTTCCAGTGAATCGACTCTTAGTTCTTGATACTTCCGGATCAATGATCCCTTGCTTCCTATCATGTATGCATGTCTCGTTATAATTCTATCTATATATAACTTGGAGACGGAGAAGGAAAATTTAATTGATTTCCCATAAACGTTAATTAATCCAATGATATATAAGTATAACAAAAGTTCTAGAGACACGGGACGACTAAATGTCTTTTTAGACATCTTTTAGATATTTCTATTTTCCGATAACAATGAAATCTCTCGGGACTCTCACGAGGTCGTGAATTTAAGGAGAAAGCTCTAATTCGAGAACAGAGTCGAGGAAGCTGCGCCAACCTTTGCATCAACGTATCCTAGAACTTAGACTAATTTAAGCGCGCCGCTTTTAGCACCCCTTTAGCCCCCTGATCGTATAATCGAGACTTTTCATCCGCCTCGTGTTTTTAGGAGTACAAAGACTTCATGGACGCGGAGAACCTAATGCCCCTCGCTACCAGCGACTTTCGTAATCCAGTGTGTCAGGAAATGAGGTCCCTCAGGTTCAGTATCGCTAGCGGAGGCGGCGGCGGCAGTGGTGGCGGCGGCGGAAGCGGAAGTGCCGGCGGCGGCACCGAAAGCGGCGGCGGGGAACAATTAGGTTCGTCGCTCGCGGAATCGAAGATCTCGCCGGTCCAGCCGCCGGAGATGATGTTGAGCTTCGTGAGGATGTACAACGAGCAGGGAAGCTACGCGAAGACGTACAACGAGCAGGGGAGCGTTGACAGTTCCGACACTTACGCGAGCTGTCAGACGCATCCGTCACATTCGCAGGTACGCGAGTCGCGCGGGTAAAATATATGCGAGATCAAACTTTTTCGACACGGGACAATGCAACACGAAACCGTAGATCCGTATAGAAACATGACATGCATAATACGTGCGTCGTATATGTAAACCAGAGCTTCCAAACAGCGTTCTTTGTTATACGAGATATTGTGCTTGTGAGTATCTTTTTTCTACACAGCGACACGAAAACTATTCTTTCAAAGTTACACTTTAAACAGTTACATCGCGCGTATCTCTCTATGATCTTTTTCTGATTCTATCTTATCATTTTTTCTTTATCATTTGAATCTGCCATATAAGTATCTTATAATATTTCTATGTATGCTACGATGAGACGTGATGAGGAAGCACTGATGTAAGCTATCCCACCTTTAACGCATCACATGTTAATGAATTATTCGGCGAATTCAAAATTGATTTACTCTTTATAAATATTTATAGATTTATATTTACATGTGTACAGGACAAATGACGTTTGAAGTATTGAAAATTAAAGCCAACTTTTTTACTTCCAAACTATATTAAATGCACCTAATTTTTTTATCGTTATTGCATTCGAAAGAATATCACCATTGTCAATTTCCCGTATAATAATTTCTTATTTAATTAATTTAAAGTACGACCCATTGATTTTCAAAATATCTTTGACAGAAGTGATAATATTGTATGTATAATATTTTACACGTGAAAATATATTATTATATTTTGACGTATAAATCAATAAATAACAATAATAAATATTCAGGTCAACATAATTGAATAAATTAAATGGACTTTCAATTTTAATTTCAAATAGAATTGTAGGTAATTCTCGTGAAACTTTATTGTGTGTACGCAATGATGTATTTAACGATAAAAATTAAAAATGTGCTCCTTTTAATATAATGGTTGTTTATTCAATCATCGTTGTTATACGCAAAAAATATTCCCTAAATTCGTCAAGGAATCATTAACATTTGAAAACGATGATATAATCCTCCCCCTGCTCGCTCGCTCACTCGCTCGCTTCAGTAATTTAGTATGTAGTCTGCAATTACTAGACTAATATAGATTCTAGTCGCCTGTGCACGCGAGGACATTTGTCACTTTCACGACGAAGTTACGCTCTATAGAGTCTGAAATCTCGGTCGCGGGACAATCCCTTCGCTTCCGCAGGGCGATCTGACCGAAGAAGCGGACAGCAATCTTTACGTGAATCCTCTGGAGGTAACGGAAAAGTGCGGAACTGGTCGTGTGAAAAAATCTATTTCCGGCGAGGTCGGCCGGAACATCATCACCGACGTGTCGCCCAGTGTCGAATCCCTGAAGGAATTACGGTCTTCTAACGAGGCCAGCAAGGTCAACCTGAACGACATAATACCCAAGCACAGGAAAATAAGGATCCAACAGGTGAGCTGCCCCTTTAAGCTTACTTATTTTATCATGTGCTGTCCGAGAGTCTCGAATCTCTATTTACTTTGTGCCGTGTGCGATTATCGATGTTCGTCAGCGAACAAAAATTAAATAAACACAGCGGAGTGCGAACAAATAAACCGGTAAAGAGATTAGGGAAATACGAGTGTGTAATCCCGAACTGGCATTTATCAGTCACTTTCAATCTTTTCGATTTTCGATGATTCAACAGCAGAATAAATGCGACACTGTAATCTCTTTCAATGATAAAGTAAATACATTTTATTTTTTTTTATTGTAATATTGGATTTTTCATAATCGCGTTATTTTAATTTTATAACATCGAGAATATCAAGATATTTTCATTGCAAGAGATATTGCGCTGTTACATTTATTCCACATTTTCATAATCATTTCAATCAACACTATTATACTTAACATTGAATACTTTCGATTAACAGTATAATGCAGAAATTTTTAGTTAAAGGAAAATAATTAATATAAAAAAGAATTAATACAAAGAGAAATTTTTATAGAATTAAGTGCACTATTATCATATTAGCAAATGGATCTGTATGTGCTTTCTCTTACAATAGTTACTTATTATAACTAGATGGAAGCAAATGTTTTCTCGTTTTCTCTCTCTTACATATAATTTTAATGTAGTGCATAAAAATAAATAAATTTTTTATTATCAGAATTATTTTAGAAGCAACATTCTCTAGTTATAAATAACGAAGTGTGAGAAATATTTTATGATTCTCAAACTACAATATTCATATCGCTGCGATGTCAAAAACTTGCTTTATATATATATAAAATATACTACACTTTTTATTTGAAATTTCTCGTTCTATGTATATTACACAGTTTACAATTTGTAAATAATGTATTTTTTTACAATGTAACATAATCTCGATCTTAGGAAAATCTTTTAATATATTTAATAAGAAATAGAGAAAGGGAGAGAATTGAAAAATATTAAATTTTTTTTATGATTGTATTAATTCTTTTTTTTAAATTTTAAAATTTCTGCAAGCTCGCGATAGGATCCGTGCCTTCTCTTTAAAAATAGAGCAAGTCAAAGAAGCACGCTCTTCTGATTAATGCGTACCATGTGACTTCAGAATATTGAATTGTCTACCATATACGAATGTTGGAAGATTTACTAACGAAACTTACGCGATAAATCATTCGTGACAGCTTTACGAGTGAAACTTGAATGCGTAATGTGTAATTGTTATGTGCACATTAAGCAGAGAGACGTAATCTCGTAGTGACACTTTGTGTCACACCTTTAAAGAGACGGTGCTAGTCACACAGATTACACCCCATATCACGCACGACCGCACGCACTCATGCGCCGCACCTCGCTGCTTTTTTCAGCCGCAAAAACCACCGAGACTACAAGCGGAGCGCAGTTGAGCGATTGCCACAGGCTATCGTACTTTTCTGAACGCTCCGATGCTCGTCAGAGGGGAAACGCGCGATATCGCACGTTGGCGCTCGGAAACGGAAGTAAGCTCGTTCGCAGCATGACAGCGTGTTCGCGCGCTTGGCTGGCGACAGATAGCGGGTATCGTTCACCTTGCGTCACGGAACTACCGTTTCAGGGCCAATGGCATGTGCACTGTGCCCGATAAAAAGCGTAGAGAAATGAGACATCTTTGTCGAAACCTGTCAGTCGATTTTTGTTCGCACAACGAGAACTGATGATGAACTTAATTAGGTCGGCTTCGGAGTTTTGAATCATATCTTCGAGGTCCGAGAGAATGCAATGAAATTTTCTTTTCTTCCTTGAATTTTTATCTTTGGAATTTATTATCGAAATGTTAAACTAAGAATCGAAGATGTTTTCGAAGAATATTTTTTTTACAAAAAATTGGCATCAAATTCGAAAAATTTTGTTTTATTATTTTATACTGCGCTTTTTACCGGGTAAATTGTATGTATGGATCGAGAATTCAGTCTCATAATTTCTTTATAAGAAATAAAGAGAATGAAATTAACAAGGAATTCTCGACTTACGCTACAGAATTTGCGTGATTTCAACGATTTGTTATGACAATTATTTTTTTATCAAGCTGCATATTTAAATGTAAAATTTTAATTTAACACAGTGACACATTTAAACATTTTTATAATCTTAATCGTTAATAATACTTATATTTTGGACGCATATTTTTATAGATCGCGATAATCTTTATTATTAATGCAATGATATATACATATACAGAATAATGCTTGTTTAAAGTTTCTAAACAATCATATATTTAATTTTGAAGGAATAATACGGTCTCTTAATCTTATGTCTTAATCTTATTAATTTCCGCAGTCTAAATTATAAAACAAAATTGACACGAATTTGAAGTGAAAGTTAGTCAGGGTAAGTCATCTCCTACGCGAATTTCTATTTACAAATCTTATTCAGATTGATTGGATACGCATTATAAGGGATGCATTTTATCGTCGACTCACTAATTAACGTGATCATATTACTATTTCATTTGCATGACTTGCAGTCACAAACGCCAGTTATATCTAAAAGTCCTCTTTTCTTATTTATATTACAAGATCATGATATAAAGAGAAAGCAAAATCTGAGTTGGTTAATTCTCAAGCAGTCGCGACGCAATTTATATATCATTAAATCACATTCATTAACAATACACATGCATGTATATTCATTCGGTAAAACTTTTCACATCAATGTACCCTCTATTATCCTCTTTATTCCATATAGCACATTTATATATATTTTTCCTAGGCACCTCATTTTCTCCAGAATAGCATGACTAAATTGATATATTGTTATTATATTATACGCGAATAGCCTCCCAAAAAATATCGGGATCAGGAAAAGAAAAAAAGAAAGCACGAAAAAGAGGAAAGAAAACAAGAAGAAGTTACCTCTTTTAATAAAATGATTTTAACATAGAATTATATAATAAATAGAATTTTTGTTACATATCTATTTCATCTTGAATCCATTAATTACGTATCTTTTTTTGGCTAAAAAGATTGATTAAAAAGTTGTAATTTTTTATCGTAAAGCATTTATAAGAATTACGACATTTCTATACATTTTAATGCACGACTTTTACAGCACTAGTTGTATGCATTATATCCCATAAGTACTTAACTGTTCGTGTGCTATGTCGCATCTACCTTGAACTTGAAAATAAACTCTAGACGATGTAAACAAAACTTACGCGTATAAATATGATCAAGGTTAACTTGGTGGCTATAGTAATACATAGTTTTTGTATATATATCATATAACATTCAATGAATGAATGCTATTGCGATATGAGAAGTATACGAATATTTCACAATACACGCTGTTTCTGTATATAAATATTAAAAATTCCTTTTATATAAATATTCGCGGGCGAATAACTGAAAATTAATTAGTTATTTAAAGCCTTTCTTGTCACTATAATGTCGCGTATTCGTAATCGTATAATTAAATTGCAATGAAATATAAATGTGGCAAACTTTTTGTGAGAAACTCTGCATATATAATAATTTCTGTATAATCGCGTGACAAAATTTCATTTGCTCCGTGTGAATAAGTAATTGTTATACATTAGATGTAATATGTTAGATCACGCTACTGTAATTATAAATTAAATTATAAAAAACTATATATGAACATAACATATCTTTTTCAAAGCTAGAATGTACATATATAGATTAGCATCTTGCAGACATTCATATAATTTTTATAATTTGCATTAATAATACAATATAATATTTTGTCATTTTTTATACGGTTTAAATGAGCTATAGATATATCTGTCAATTTTTTCTATTGATCGATATCTAATAATTCCAACTTAACTTCAAGCTTCCTGCCCTTTCAATGTCTTCAAAAATGCATTGCACATCAATGTGCGTATCCTTTCACCACCTTAAATGTCTATGAATTTATTATTTATATGACGATCATTTTGGATCATATATATCGCAAATTTATTGCTTGTAATCGTGCAATATTTTAACCCTTTATCTGTATAACGCAAGAATTTTCCGTTTTACGGCTGAAGCTATGCGGCAGGGAGAATACGAGTGAGAGCATAACGCCTCGTTTCCGCTATTCGTACATTGTTACAAGCCGCAATAGTGTAAAGTCCAAGTGTAATCGTCAAACGTACTTGATTGCAGAGCGTAAAGCCACGGGCGCAATTCGTCAGCGATCAGGAAGGCGTGGTAGCGCGTGGTATTCTGAAGGAGGATGCCGCCACGGAGGACAATAACAATCATTACGGAGGACTGCGCGGTGGCAAACCCTCTACGTTCGTGCCGACAAATCTGGCGTCAGCCACCCGCATCATCAATTATCACTTGTTTGGATCCCTCGGCGGGTCGAAGCACAACATGGGTAAATATTTGATCTTCACTTAATTAGACGTCTCTCTTTGATGGCTAGTTATAGTTTTCTTCTTTCCTGCAAAGAAACTCGTGTCGAGAAATTGAAAGGAACTGAAGTCGATTAAATTACAAATTCTAGTCATCAATCAAATTTATACTTGATTAGTAAAGATCTTTTTTTTAATATCTAACATACATATAATAATTTTTTTATTTATATATAAAAATATTTTATTTTAATTTTATTGCCATTCTAATTTAGAGTGCTTATTTAAAGTAGATAAAAAGCTTATTTATAGAAAGCAATATCATTTTTAATAATGCTGAATAAAACTATATAAAAAATATGATATTCGCGAAGTTCGCATATATGAATGAATGAAAATGCAGTAGACTTATGATCTTCAGAGTCAAATAATAATGAATAGAATGAAAGAAACTGAGACGATTCGAGTACTTTGCAATCATTCTGAGTTGCTGGTTTGTCAGCCTCTAATTTTCTTTATCCGATTATTATTATCACGTCGCAAAATCAAAATACTGACATAATGAGATCCGTTTCAGGAGCGAGCGCCGAGAGCAAGCTCTCGCTGTCGGCGGATTCCATAGATAGCGTTGGCACACTGTTCATGGATCGTCACCGGGTGTCGAAATCGATCCTAAAAAAATCCGACAGCGGCAATAATTACTACAGCAATACCGGCGACTCGGATACCGAGAAGCTGATCACGGACAGCGTGTCCACGGCGAGCATGTGCGACAACGAGACGGATACGTGCGATTCCTTGGCTAACACACGCTCGTCGAAAAAACGTCCAGCATCGCCGTTACTCTCGCGACAGGTCCTCGAATCGATATTCCGTACGAATAACAACGCCGAGAGGAGGGAGTACACGAGTGGCGAGGGTGAGGGGAAAACTGCAGTCGCGAGGACGCCGAAGATTCTATTCGGTGACGTCGTGGAAGGTTCGTATAGACGAGAGTTCTCTAATTTTTTAAGAGGTGGATATATGTGAAAATGGCCAAAGTATTCAAATTCCTATCATTTTTTTAAACAAAAAGTAAATAATTTCTTGAAAATTTGGGTTATATAAAAAACACATATATGTAGCTAATTTCACCTTATGATTTTACCGCAATTCTTAAAGATTTTTATAAAGATTTAATAAGTATACGAAGAAAAAGGGATGAAAGTAGAATAGGTCGGAAGACTAGGATGTTACAATTTTTTGTACGATTGTTACAATTCGAATGATGAGCTCTCCTCAATCAGTCGTTCCTTCATATGTACCATATATTGCAGAGGAGAAACACGTTCGCAGCGAGGCGGTAGCGGAAAAACCGAATAAAGAATCGGACGAGCAGCCGCGGAAAGTGAAGACACGCGTGCAAGAAGATTCGAAGGAGAGTTCAGCCACCACACTGATATTACGTCCCCATAAAACGAGGAAGACGACGGAGGAAAAGAGAAGAGCCAACAAGTCGAGTGGACACGGAACTTACAAGAGCTCCGATGCGAATTGTCTTCCTCAGGAATACCGTTTCTCGTAGCTGCTTCTCCCGCTTCTCACGCTATTAGAGACTCTGCACATAGTCTCATCGTCGTCGTCATCATCATCATCATCCGACGATCGCAGTCAGTGTACTTGCTCCCGAGGCCGAGTAATCATTTTTATTTGACAGGTATGTTATTCTTAACATCGATTGCACCCTGGTCATTTTTATCAATTAACTATGTAATACGACAATAGCCTTGCTAAAATTAACGCTCGGCGTTTTGATCCTGGATCCTTCATTATGAAGAAAAATAGTTAATTAATCATGATAAAGATGCAATCGAGTCTGAAATTTTGCGAAAAGCAAAACGTAAAGAATCGCGAAATAATTTACACTCAAGGATTGTTAATGTGTTTTACATGATAAAGAGTGACCCTGACGAATTTAAATTTTTAACTTGCGAGATAAATGGATCCTAATTCTGATCTACGTATTTTTTTTTATTCTAACGTAGTTTCGGATTGAGGAAAGGATAGTTGGATCGTTTTCATATCGAATAAGGTCATCTCTTTGAAGCGATCTAATTGACGCTTCAAAGCGAATTTAATCGGCTTACTTGAATTCACATTAAATTCTATAAAGGAAAAAGAATTTAGAGCGCGCGACTGGACTGCATCATTATTTTTTCAACATCGTAATGAAAAATTCTTATACGTTTAGGTGCGCACGATTAATTTGCGATTTTTAACATCAATGTGTATCTCGTAAGCCTAAATCAAAATCATCATCTAAATCTTATAAAGCATATTCATGCGATCATTTTAGAATAGTAAGTGTTTCGTATCCAAAGATGCAGTAGCGATTGTGCGACTTATCAGACGAGCGGAAACGGAAATACAGAGCAATCTAGTAGATTTCGCATCGTAGTCTTACCTGAACGAACAAGCGAGTTGTTGTTCGTCTTAACGTAGCTGGCTGTCGAGATGGTGATTCGAAAGATTTCGAAATCTCATCTCGTGTTATTATATATGCGAGTGTAATTGTCACTCTCACGCCGAAAAAATTCTCGCACTTGTGATCGATCGTTTTACCCGATCGAGATGCATCCCGCGCAAAGGTTCTTTCGCAACAATCGCGAACGATGAATGCAATTTACACTCTAGTCTAATTTTAGATGTTTATCGGTGGATACATATCTGCAACAAGACACTTGTAGTATTAATTGTTATTAGTAGTCGTAGGAGTGTAAGAGAAGGGTGATATATATGATACAAGCGTATATTATTATTGCCCGCGCGGCTCGTTGTTATTGCGCCAATGTTCTGTATAAAAAAAATCGCGCGCCTCGAGTATTTTCTACTTACATTCGTAAAAATCGCTTCCGCTCATATTCCGGATGATGATTGGTTTCAAAGTCATTGCCTCCGCCTCTTCTTGTAGTTTTTAAAAAGCGATTGTAAAGCGAACGAATAGATTGAGAAGAGTGCGAAGAGCAGATGAATGGGGAAAAAATATTGAGGGAAATAATTTTTCCAAAGCTCTTCAAGCAATCATAAATTGTGTGGTACATAACGACGTTCCATTCCTCGATACGCTTATATCCGTCATGTTTATATAATATTTGCGATAGGTTTTTTTATGGATTTTTTGAAGGGTAATGGATTACGTTATTTTTCTAAGCCCTCGTGTAATGTAATATAAAAAGATTTCTGATTATTATAATAATCATATTTTTTTAGAGACGAATTAAAAAGAGGAGACAAAATTGGGATAAATATATATGTACATACTTTTTCGTTTTTTTATTTTTACGATAATTTTGTCGAATTGTTTTAGTATGACTTATTTGCCAAACGTAATAGCGTACAATATCTCCATGTTTCCCGTACAAATATTTTTAAAACGAATAGAATACGGAATGGAACACAATGTAGGCTATATACGTAATCTTAATAATGTTCAATTTAGAGCTTTCAATTTCCATAAGGCTAGCTTTTAATAAGCTACAGTGATATACGGAATGAATTACACACGTCTAACTTTTTAATATCTCGTATATATTATAAAAAAATATATATAAACTATATCAAATTTCAAAACCTGTATTAAGAGAATTCGTGTAATATATTTCTCGAGAAAAAGAAAAAACTTGTTCTCGAAAAAATCGGAGATGTTTGATCACTATTGAAGAGGAAGGATATAAGAAAAACCGAAACCTTTAAAAAGAGTATGATAAATGAATCAGTCTCTTGAAGCGAACGATTGTGCCAAGCAAGTGATTTCGCTCTTACCCTTCCACGAGCATTCCGTACATCGTTTGCGTACCTGTTATTCAGAGTCGGATACCTTATGCCGCTTATAGAGTTTTTAAATAAATGAAATCGATGTCTTCTGCCAGCTAACGTAGTCGAATTTAAGAAGTTCCTAGAGACTGTGTAAAAGTGAGCTAGAAAAAAAAGAGGATGGTTTATTATTTATCATTGTAATTTTACATTAGCGGCAGAAAACAGCACCGTTTAGAGCAGTGAAAATAGTACAAAGGATGACATCTCGTAGAACGTGTGCGTTACGAGAAAATACGACTGGACGATGCTCTTTTATGTAATCGCTACGAAAAATACGCACGAAAATGTTGTTGTCTTCGTGTTTAAATTAAGTTTATGACACTGGCGAGTTGTCGACTTGCTTACTCGAGGAATTTAAACTGACTGTTTATTTATGACAAACAGATGATTGTGATTCTGGCCAGTTTGAAGAACCCCACCGAGTTTCTTCGGATTTATACAGATTATTTATTTTTTACTTCGTTTTCTTTCTCTTCCATTTTTCACGCTGTCTGTAACGCAGCTGCAATGAATTCACAATAATATAATATCGTCGATATATTTTAAGCGCTAGCCATTCGATCAATCGCGTAAATTTTTATTTTTTCGGTCTTGCAAGGCCTATTAATTTTAAAGCTAATAAAAAGTATAAAATAATGAATAAAGTTGTGACTTGCTAGTTTTTGTTCCTTACACAGTTATGTTTCTTCATCATATTTCCCTTCAATGATCCACTTATAATGACTGTAATGAATAATGGATATTCGAGAGGTCATCCGCATACTTGTTCTACGAAACTTTTGCAATTATCTTTTTATATCAGTTATATGATGAAATTAACATAGAATCGAGTGGTTGTTAGAAATAAATATCCTTCATTTATCCTTCGTTTCAATATTATAAAAATAAACAGATAGGTTCGAATAAAAATTTAAAAATGCTTAAAATTTGATGCACAATAAAATGAAGATTGTTTAAACAAGTCTAATTAAAGGTAGATTTATCTGTGTTCAAGCGATATTAAGCATTTGTTCAACCGAATGGTGTAGGCAGGATGAAATGTATTGTATTCGTAAGACATATGCCAGGAGTACAATTTATTGCACATTGTTTCGCTACATATATAACCAATATTGTTTTTGATTATAGCGATAAGTATCACACTGTTTTAACAATAAATCATCTGTACATAAGATGAACTAGTTGCAAGAGCTACTAGTTGGAAATATTGCGCTTATCAAATTTGCATCATCCGAAAACTTGAAATTATTTTTTTTAATAATACTAAAATTATTTTTTTTTATTTTTCATCAACATAATTTAATCAACATAATGATGCTGCTTTCATAAAAGATATAAATTTCGCGATGATTATAACTCTGACCACTAATTTTTTCTAATAATATTAAAAGTTATTCAGTTGCTGAGATTTAGGAGGACGAAGACGCGTTTACCATTTCAGTCGTGGTGCTCTGCGTGTCTGCAACTGGCTTCTCTTGCAGTTCCAACCAAGGTAATCGTTTTTGCAGTTCTAGTCTAATTAGTAGAATAACATAATGTTTAAAAGAAACATATTAAAGCTCCTGATCTGTTGTTAGTAGTTATATTAAATTTACTTACCTATATCTTGGATGACTTATAGCATACACATATGGATCCAAGCAAGCCACGAATTTACATGTGCACGCCGGTATCATCGTAACACCTGGAGTTAATAATGCTTTATTTCCGAAAGCACCGATCATCGCCAGAGTACCATATGGAGTCCATGAAAGGACGAAAAGGAAGCAGATCGTAATCGCAGCCTAGAAAAAAAACGCAATATGCATAAGTTTTTTTTTAAATGTGTGTTTTAGTAAATGTGTTTTGATAAATACATGAAACTGTTCGCACGATTAAAATACGTAATGTGAGAGCGTGATAATCCAATATAACAAGTTAGAATCTTAATCGCCAGAATTTTTTTTATAAAATGCATCGGCAACTTTTTGAGTAAAGAAAAAATTCTAATTATATCAAAACTTTTAAAATTCCGTTAATTTTACAGAGATAATTCTCTAAAATTGTTTTTGAAATTTAATATAAGATAAATTTGTGTGCATATTTTAACTCATTGTAAATAAAGTTTGCTAGGGTCTGTACAGACAAAATTTTCAGGTAAAATGACTTAGCATTAAAGTTTAAAAAGTTAAAAAAGTAAATGTTTTAATTTCACATTTTTTCTGATTTTTATAAAAAAATTATTTCTCTAAAAATTATATGATACCTTGGCTATACGTATTTCCGCGCTTTGAGCATTCGTATTTGCATTGCTTCTCAAACTTTCAACATTCATCTTCTTCGCTTGCTCACGAAGAGCTTTCTCATGATTGACAACGTGGCTGACAATTTGACTATAATAATATATAATGAAAGACATTGGTATACAATAGGAAAAAGTGAATATTGTGGCCACAAAGTATCGTATCTCTGGTGTGTCTGTCAAATAATCGAAGGTGCAACTCGTCAGAAAGCCTTCAGGCACAAAACGACCCCAGACGTGCATCAATGGCATCAATGCCCAAGGAATCGTGTATGTCCAGATGAGTACGATAAGCAGCATCACTTGACCGCGTGACAACTTTCCATCGAGTGGTCGAGCTATGGTGCTAAAATTTTATTTATATTTAAATCTAATTTTCAAATATATGTATATATTAATGTTCAGTATATACATGTCATGTGTGATATAAATATTATATTTTGCATATGCGTATTGAATTTACTAATTAAGTCATACTGATACATTATTTATAATTTAAATTATATTTGTTTATATTTATTTATATTTAAAAATAATTTAAATATGAATCACATATATATGTTAATTAGTATAAATTCAATACACATGTGCAAAATATGATTTATTTATATTATATATATTAAAAATTAATATATTATTAAATTTTATTTATTTTAAAAGACTTTATGCGATACCTGTATCTATCATATGCAATAGCAGCATTCGTCATACCGGCTCCAATTCCACTGAGCGCTCCCATGCAAGCAAAGATCTGACATCCCAAATGACCCGTAGCAAATCCGGTGTTGAAAGAATTATATATAAATATCGGTGCTTTGAGCATCATGATGAAATCGCAAAACGCCAGGTTCACCACGAATAAATTCGAAGGAGTTCTCAGCGATTTGGCTCTATATATGTAAAAGAGATGTCGATATGATTCTCCTTTAAGAATATATTTTTAACAATAGATTTCTTACTAAATATTTAATTATAATATATGCGTGTATGTGCAAAACTTACGAACAGAATATCCATATAACAAGTCCATTTCCGAGTAGTGCCACAAAAGTGAAGAGTATATATAAAATAGCCAACAGATAGTGAAGGGAGGGGTTGGGCTCAGGATAGACTAGCCAATGTTCCGGTATGTGGACCAATTCTTCGGCAGGGACGTTCCATCCTAGCAATCGTGGTGGTCCTGCTGGCAAAATTCTTGCCTCCCAATGAACGCTTCCGTTGGTATGCATGTCACGGTTTGCCAGCCCCTCACCTTACTTTACTTCATCATATCCTGGACTTTTTATACGCTTTGCGGTGATTCAAATCCGCGAAACCTTAATCCACCTAGCTTAAATGGCTTCGAATAGAAGATTAGTTCAAGATCATCCCCAACTTGCTGATATCAGCAAGCTTTTATATTACGTTAGTTAACTATTGAACTGTCTATATTACGTTAGTTATATTAACTATTGAACTGTCTATAGTAGGATTTTCTTATTATGGCTTTCAATTGCGCAATGGAATAGAATGTTATTGTGGTTTCTCGAGGAAAAAAATATTCAAATATTCAAAATAATTTATTTTTAAAAATTACATAAAAGCATGGATAATATCCAAATCATCAAATTATAAAATTTTATGTCTATTTGCAGAATAATGTTGCCCGTAGCACAATTAATACGACTGTAGGAATAAAAATTAATTTATGAGAAAGAATTTAATATTAATAATTAATAGTAATAATTAATAATAAAATAATTAACAATAATAACTGATATTAACCAATTGAATACGCATATGATGTATGTATGTACGCGTATATAATCATCCATTTTTTTAAATTCTATTAAATTTACGCTTTATTGTATCTGCCTTCTCTTTCGGCAGATTTATCGTGCAAAGTATATGCTGGTAAATAAAACGAGGGGTTGTTAGGATCTTTTAACAACGGATTTCGCGTCGTTGTACTTTTGTTGCCGATACTCGTGTATCCTTGATCATAGAGTGAACAATAAGGAATGTTGTGCTTCAATAAGAATGACCATACTTGATTGTAAGACCAATGCAAGATAGGATTAACGCGTATCAATTGTGGCCAGTCTGAATCGGTGGGCGCAAATGGCTGTAGATTTTCAGAACCCGGATCACCTTTCCTTACCCCCATGAGACTTGCTTTCAAATTACATCTTTCCTCCAATAACGCGGACAACGCGGATCGTATCGGCCGTTGCTTTCGTATTATTTCCAAACCATAATACTGAGAAGCCGACTCCACAAACGTTTCCACCTATATGCATATATAATTTCAATTTGATATATATATATATATATATATATATATATAAATATATAATAAATATAATATATATATATATATATATATATATATATATATAAGTATTCTAATTATATTTAATCATTAATGTTCTTACCTCTGGAAAGGAATCACTGGTTACATATAAACATAATAAGGATGAAATATTACGTGACTTGGCGATGGTAGCAGCTAAATGCAAGACTACTGTACAATCTTTACCACCATTAAAACTAATGAATACTTCATCTGAATTATATCTGAAACATTAATATAAAACAATTATATATAAAACATATACATATCCTAATAAATAAGACATAAAAAAACATGTATTGGTTAAAAGTATCTATAATATATGGTTTCTCATTATATGTTTACATGCGTACCTATTATAGCATTCATTTAATATATCTAATGCGCATTTAACGTGCATTTCATTTTTACTATCTTCCAGAATAGCATTCATTTGAAAACGACCAAACCCGTGTTTTAGATCCATAATCTTTTGTATCGGCAGGTAGTATAAAAATTCCTCTCTTGCTTCCGCAATTGCTTCCTTAGATCCCTCCAAAATAATTCTTGTAAAAGTTTGCGGCTCTGATTGCGGATAACTGCCAATTTTCACTTTGCCATTCCAACGTTTTGACTGTTTATCTAAAATATTTACTATTGATAGTTCATCCAACTCAATATCTATATGTTCATAGTGTAGTGGCGTGCATCCTCTCAGTCGAGAAATTATTACATCTGCAGCAGGTTCAAAGTATTTTGGTGAACCAGGTAGTAGATAAACGTTTCTTACGCTTATTACCGCGAAAATTTCTGAAATTTTTAACATAATAAGTATCATATATTAACATTGTATAATATTTTGATGATAAAAATTTCTTTTGTACATTTCTTTGCACAAATTTTATACACAAGAAATCTAGATAAAATAAAATATCTTATACATACAAAATATAAATAAACATTAAAATAAAATAAATAAAAATAAATTTTAAATAAAAAATACACACCCGTAGAATTGATTTTGATAATTTCACAAGAACTAGGAACAATAGCAAGTCGTTTCACTTCTTTTTGCCCAGGAATCAATTGTCTATATAGGTCAAACAATTCCTGATGAAATTCGAGTCTTAATTCAAAAGCCTTTGCTACAGCTTTGTAAGTTACATCATCATGAGTAGGCCCAACACCACCAGATGTAAATACAACAGAATACTGTTTTGAGGCACTATTTATTTCTTCAGCAATATCATCCACCTAAAAATTGTTACATATTGATAGCATTATTACTGATTTAAAAATTAAAAATATTATATTTATCAAATTATATGATAACTAAACAAAAAAATAAATATTTTTTAATATCTTGATATTGACAAAGAGTAAAAATATTCTTATATATACACATTGTATTTGTTAATAATTTTTATAGTGTATTTACAAAGATGATACGCACAACATCAGGGACCACTGTGACTTTTTGTAGTCTTATTCCTGCAGCAGTCAAGTTTTTTGCCAGGTATGATGTATTAGTATCAACTATTTGTCCACGTAAAATTTCATCTCCCACAGTTATTAAACACGCTGTACATGGACGATATATCCGTTGCGACATATTCTTCTGTTTTTTACTAGGATAAGAAAATATAATAGTCAGGAATATATATAACTCATGTCTTTTCTTTTTATACTAACAATAAATAATATGCAATCTATACACAGTTCCTCTTTACTATGACAATTATGATTTATGTTTTTTACTTTATCTTATCTAAATGTGCATTTATGCATTTTTTACAAGACATCCGAAGAATAAATTATAGATATTAGTTTAGCAGTGAAATCAAAGCAGGTCAGACAAAGGAAATCGAATAAGTGATATAATTTTTTCATAAAATATTTATTATAAAAATTATATAACAAAATAAGGTTGGATAATATTAATATGTCATTTTATATTATATAAGGTTTTTTAATATACATGTAGTTGAAAACAGAGGATTGAATACATAATTAATTGAATTCGTCTATATTTTTCATTTTTTGTCAAAGTTGTATTTGCTTCATCTTTAAAACTGTTGCAATCATTTGTGCTGGCGTCACTTTGGACATCAGTGGTTTTGTATTCTTAATTGTTTTCTTTTCAATAGCTTTGCTTTGTTTTGCTTTGGAATCAAGCACTTGTACGTCCTTACGCAATTCTTGCAGTAGTCGATCCATGTTGGCTGTTTTATCCTTGTTTGATATCTTATTTCCTTTTGAATCAATCTGATTTTAACAAATAATTGTTTTGTGTAAAGTTTTTTTAAGTAATATTTTATTACTATATTTTACATATTCAAGTCTTGCATGCATTTGACTTTTAAAACTTTTGTAGAATGAAATAAAAATTCATATATAAATTTTTATTTCACTATTGCATTTTTTATTGCATATAAGAAAGGTTTAGATAATCCAATGCATTAAAGCATTGAACAAACAATTTGTTATTTGCTTTAAATGTTTTTAAGAAATCGTATGTAGATTGTAATACTTATATATCAATTTTATTTATTTTAATTGGTAATTATCCATCACACTTACTTTCTTTGAATTAATAATCTTCTGTGCTTTAGCTTTCAGCTTAATACTGCGAACTGTTGCAACTTTGAAAACATTTTTGTTTTTCTGAGTTTCCTTATTCTTTCCCATTGTTTTCTGTAACATGAGCGTTACATCATTAATTATAAATTAACTGTTATATATTGTTAGTCCCTATTTTAAATTTCTTCATTGCTGGCTCCTTGTCTTTAAGCATACTTTCTTTCAATAAAAATGATACTCGAACCATTTCTTTATTCGGTGAAACATCTCTAATGTCCTGTATATTAACAATCTCATCAGTAGACAGTGTATAACCAAGCTTTTCCTCAACCAATAATCTGCCAAGTCTGCAAACATCATCTGTTTTATCTGCTTTTACAAAACAATATACATGGAATGTAAGTGGTTTAAGAAAAATTTTTTGAAATTCTTCTTGCGTAAACCAATCAGGCAGTATGTCCAAGAATTCAATGGCTGATGCGGGTAGGTTCATTATTATATGTTCAGAACCAGGCAAATCTTGAGCACGTCTGGACAAAATATCATTTTTAACAATGTCTCTTAAAAACTCTCTGCCATCCATGTTAAAAGCTTTAAAATTATTTTTCAGTTTATTAATAGTAGCATTTCTTTGAAGCCACTTGTAAGACTCAGGATTCAAGTCATTAGCAAGTACTTGGATTTTTTTACGTGCGGCAGGAATAGCGAAGGGTCCTACTCCTGCAAATACATCGTACAGAACATCACCTTGCGCCATAAATGTTATCATTCGTGTGTGTTCCGTAGACAAACGTGAATTCCAATAAACTTGTGCAAAATCGAACTGATATGTACAGCCATGTTCTTTTGTAATTGTTATTGTATTCTTTTCACCGGCCAGAATCTCCATAGCAAAATATCGAAACGTTGTATCAATCGTATTCGTCTTATTTACTACTGTTCGCACATTTGGTGTCTTGTCGAGAAATATTTGACCAATAATAGTTTTATATGGCAAATGTACATCACGTAAATTCAACTGCACAATTTGTCCTACTAATGTGTATGCCGTAGGAACTTGAATATTTTCTGGTAGAACTGATTTTAATGTCTCATCGCGACGCCAATTATCATACTTCATTGTAATACTCATAATATCAAAATGTTCATATTGATTTGCTAACAATTTTCTGTCATTCTCAGTAATGTCTTCAAAGTTTGTGATAATATTTGGATTTAGATAAACAATAACTCCTTCACTTGTCTTTTGAATTGGTTTAAAATTACATATTTTTAGCAAATATTTTTTCAAGATGAGCGCAGCTCTTGAGACAACAGTGTTACTTAATTTTAATGTTGGTACATTCACAATTGTTGTAAATGCATCACGATCCAAGCTTGTCATACCACGTACCGACACCGGAGGAACCAGCAAGGAAGTCATAGCAGTTGTATAAAAGTAGTACTGATTTTTCAAGCAGCTAGGATGCCGTACTGCACTGATGTATCTGCCAACTGCCATATACAGGATCACGCACTGCGCAACAGAAACGATTGGCAATAAGCTGTTTTATTATATAACTTTCATTATTTCATGACTAATAAGGAATAATAACAATCTTTTTCTTAACATGCAGATTAATAAAAAAGAAAGTTAAAATTATAAATTGCTGTACTTTTATTAATGAACTGGCTTAACCAGCTGTGAATTAATATATGTTAATTAAATTCGAGTAATTTGTAAATAATTAGAAACACATTTTATATTTATTAATATCATATTAATGTTTAATAATCTATTTAATAGTATATTTTAATTATTTAGATTTTTCTAATCCTATGTTTACTGATCCTGTATATTGACAAAAAAATCTCCTTTCTTTAGCTATTTTTTACAATATATTTTCACTTCAAAATGTAAAACAATCCAGCTAAAAAAAGCAGATCTAATCTTGGCTTCAACATCATCATTTGTCTAGCATCTTTTTATTATTGTAATTATGTTTTTTAATAAATTAGTGAGTAATCGCAAAATAATAGATAGCTCTTTAGATTATATTAGGTTGTGTTTAGATGCAATTATTAACAAGGACTAGATATTAATGAAAGATAAAATATAATCTTCACCTGATCGTTTATAAAAAATCCAATGTTCAATATAGATACTTCATACAAATGTTCTACATCAACAATAAAGATTGAAAGTTAAATGTTATTAGGAGTAATTCGATGTTATAAAATTAACCTCTCTCTCTGCGCGAACATGTCTGCTTCAAGATTTGTCTTTGTCACGTGATTAATTTTAGTTCACCCATTTCCGAATGGCGGCGCTAAAATCGTCAGTTTCGTTTCAGCCTTTCAGCGCAGCTGATGAGGTTATATATCTGTCAAAAATGTCATCGGAGGGATGTTTGGATATGGAAATACGAAAGTTAAAACCCGGCGAATTGTACGTTTTGAGCAATATATTAAGCATATCCGATTCTTGGAAGAAACTAATGGCTATCGTGCCTAACCAAGAAAATGTACCTAAATTCAGTAGCGATCATATCAGGCAAGCAAGAAAATATTTTTCTCAATAAATTTAATTTAAAAAATATCGTTGCATTGTTCGAAGCTGTTTTTATGAAAAAGCTGAGTATTAAATTCTTTTGTAATAATATAATTTATTTTTTTATTATGTAGCATAATCGAGCGAACAGCATTTGGGAACAAGCGAAACGCAGCTGAAATATTTTTAGACGAATGGAGTACTATGGGAAGAAAGAGACCAACATTAAGGATATTACTAGAACTTCTCATAAAAGCAGAATTATTTAGAGCAGCTGATTATGTAGCATGCGATATATTAAAACGTAAGGTTTATAATGATATATTTTTTAATATATTAAAAAAAATGGCATAGAGATGATTATGAATATTTTCACATCTTTAATGAATTCTTTTAAATAAATTATTATTTAATTACAATGCAAAAAGATATATAAATTGTATTATAGTTTTTTGTTTATTAGAGAGTGACAAATTTTATAATTTAAAAGAAACCACTTTCTAGCAAAATCTCAATTATTATAGTTATATATATCAAGCAATAATTTTAATTATTATAGCCATATAAATTCTCATTATTGCTTTTTAAATTTACAGAGGAAAGACCAAAGAGACCAGATTATGGTCCAGCTGCTTCTATCGATATAAGTGATACAGCTCTAAACAAATTACTAAGAAAGGATCAAATGCTTTCACAAGATACATCTGATTCTATGATAATAGGATCAACATCGGAGCTAATTTCAGAAATTAATAGAATGTTTCCTGGTGAGAACCCAAATAAAGCTGCCAATGAAAATATATTGGATGCTGATAATTCTTTAAATTGCGAAAAGTCTACCAGAGTTATTGCTTCGGTTGAAAGCATCAAATCAGATTTAATGAAATTTAGTGTCACAGATATTTGTGAAGTAGTGAAGAAACATACAGAGCACACATCTGCATTAACGTCCAAATCTAATCCTGCAGAGATTAGAAAAGGAAATCCAGAAAAATCATTAGATGTAACAGCACAGTACTATGAATATGAAGAAGTATCATCTCAAGAACTACCAGTATGTCTTAACCAATCCTAAACACATTAATGTTAAAGTGCTAAATGAAGAAAATAATTTCCGTCCAATATTTCAAGTTTTTAAAACAAATATTTATAATTGGCTTAACTTTACAATAATTTTAATTTTATTACATGTGCAATAAAAATATAAATAAATTGTATTTATAATTGTTTTAATTAATACATTTCATAAAAGATTGATATAAAAATATATATTATAATAGAAATATAAAATGTAAATAAGCCCATAAGTATCATAAAAAATTGTAAATTAAATCTAAAAAAAACGAACTATATTTTATATACAATATTTTTAAAATATAATTTTATATATTTTACAATATGTATCAGAACAATTTCTCTTCTTCCCTTATGATTATCATATAATGTATATGATGAGCCATATAGTATAAGAGAGGAAAACACTATGTGATGAGCCATATATACATTATATATTTATTATATTAAATTAGAATATTACAAAGCGCGACATTTTGTTTCTTTATGTTAAATATAATAAATAAATGTATAAAAAATATATATATATAATTTTTAAGTTTTATTTTAATTTTTATTTTATTAATTATTTAAAATTGCTATGTTGCTGTTCTGCGCATGCGCAAGATTGGTCCGTCTCTTGCTATTTCCGTTTCTTTTTTCTGTTGCTTCCGGTCCATTCGTCCATATATCCTTTCTCGTGAAGCTTGTCGCGTGGAGACGTGCGTTAAGTTTTGCAGCTTCTCGTAATCGACTGTTATCTGTGGTTTTTGTAAGAATCTTCAACAAAAACCGTAACCATGCCTCCTAAATTCGATCCGAATGAAATAAAGAAAGGTATCTTTTTAAATATTTTTTCCTATAATACGATTATAACTTTCATAACCTTTTATAACCTCTCTCCGGTATATAAGTGCTAATTGTTAACCAAATCCCTTTTGTTTTTTGTATAGTGTTTTTGCGATGTGTTGGTGGTGAAGTAGGAGCCACCTCGTCTCTTGCTCCAAAAATTGGTCCTCTCGGTTTGGTAAGTTTGGAGAAAATTTAGTTCGTACAGAGTTCACCCGTGCAGTTATTTATGTTGTATTCAATAAATTATTTTCACATCCAGTCTCCCAAAAAGTTGGTGACGACATCGCCAAGGCTACTAGTGACTGGAAAGGTCTGAAAATCACAGTTCAATTGACCATTCAGAACAGGCAAGCCACGATTTCGGTTGTACCGTCTGCGGCTTCTCTAATCATTAAAGCCCTGAAAGAGCCGCCCAGAGACCGTAAGAGACAGAAGAATATCAAACACAGCGGTAATTTGACGTTCGACGACATAGTCTCCATTGCCCGTGCTATGAGAATAAGATCGATGTCGCGAACACTCAGTGGCACCGTCAAAGAGATCTTGGGTACGTGTCAGTCAGTTGGATGCACTGTTGAAGGCAGACCTCCTCATGATCTTATAGATGACATTAATGCAGGAGAGCTGGAAGTTCCTGAGGAATAACATTTTTGGTAGGTGTAGGGTCCTTAATTCACTCTTTTCATTTTTGACATAGTAACTAAGTATTTATATAATTTTGCTATAGCTGATCATGAATTACATGATGTAACATGTGTTAGTTGAATTTTGAAGTTTTTGATTTTTTTACTTGCAATAATCATAATGAAAAGAGTTAATTTTGGACTCTTGGTAGGGGTTGGCATCCCATCCAATTATTTAGCATTAACTTCATCAATTGATGCTGTTATTTGCTGATAATCACTTTAGCCATTGAGGAGATAACCTCAATAAAAAATCAATATAATTGTCTCTTTAATAATGAAAAGTGTTTAATTGTATGTATTTCTTTTTACAGACTTTTGTAAGGTGCAGAAATAAAACATTAAAAAAAATTAAATATATTCTTTTTAATTTATTATACCAATTGTTCACATATATGTATTAAATATACCATATATTCATTTATTCTACACAACACATTAACATACATAATTAAAAGAGTGTGACTTGTACTTTCAAGAATATAGATATTTCTCTATAAATTTATATCAAACAAGAAAGATTAAGATTTACAAAACATTAAGAAAGATCATGATTTTCTTTTTCAGAATAAGTTTTTGCTATAATAAGATCAATACATACAAATTTTCTATATTTAATTAAAATGTTTCTCAGAAAATTTATATATAGACATATTTCTAATTCTTTCCCACATATTTTCCTATATATTATTAAATATGAAAATATACAGAAAATAATATATACAAATTTACTCTGATCAATATACTTCATTATAAAGTGCAATTAGTAGCCAGTTATTTATTTACTAGATAAAATATATAACAATATACGATAAAGAAATTAAAATCAAAGTTATTTCTGACTTTACACCCTACTTATTTGTTAAAAATATATTCACATATTATAAATATACATAAAATTGTGAATATTTTTACACTTTTTATATTAAGACTTCAAAACTCTTTCTAATTTTATATTTTTTATTAGATAAAAAATATATATAACTTCATAATAATAATACAAAAAGATTTTTCTAAATCTTTCTATATTTATAATATAGTATGCATATATTATTTACCATTAAATTACTTCAAAATGCATATATGTTTTATAGTTTAATTATTGAAGTTATGTAATAGTTTACAAAAAGAGATACTTGGAAGAATCGGTAATCAAGAAACTAATATTGCTCTTGCATATTAAGACATAAATCGCAAAATTTATAATTAGAATAGGAAATTTCTTGTTTCATAACTTTGCAAGTAACATTTTTGAATTATTGACCCAATACATGACCCCTTCCCCAGTTATGTCCCCCAAATATATTTCTTCCTTGAACATTTTGTTCCCCAGTGTTTGGCCTGTTTGTTGGTGCACTTCCAAATGATCGGACCCCACTTCTTTGAGGTGGGAAGTAACTTTCAAGTATCTTTGGAGTGTTGAGTAATTCCGGACCACCGAGTTCTTGGGGATATTTGAACTTCAAGAAGACGTACATATGTCCAACTAGAATGCCAAACAGCTCCATCATTCCACCACCAGAAATGATCAAGTTAAATGCAAATAAGACCCATGGCAGATACATGGCTTTGAATTGTGTACCTGTCAACAGATTCAATTATAAGTAAGCCAATTGTGTACAATTTATAAATAAATAATAGAATGAAAGAAAGAAGAGAAGCGTACCAAACCAGAAGTTAACAATTGCATCCTTATTCAGCTGACACCATACATACAGCACGCTGAGCACCATAGGATCCATGAGGAGGGAAAAATCGCCGATAAGTCCAATGATGACGCAGCATATCCAGTTGAACAGCAGAAGGAAGCAATAATCCGCGGGTTTACCATCGTACTCCCCGCGCTCCAACCTCAACGAATAATTGTACAAAAAATAACAGTTGATCAAGAAGTGAAAGCCCGAGCCTGGGCTGAGCGGATAATAGAAAACGCTCGTGACCGCTCGCCAGATTTCAAAGTTATTCAGAAACCGATCGGGCCAGAGTATCAACGAGTGCGGACTCAGAATTCCGAATCTGCCGAGTAATGTGAGCACCAAGGTACACAATAACCAGTATCTCGTAAATATCGGCAAGGAATTAAACCAGTCTCTTACATCTGACATTTTTCACGTATCTTTATTCTTATTATTGTTCAGAATGCGACAGACGACCGCGAGTGTCACTGTCAGTGCAGTAATGACGTGTAATCGTACGGTCCAGGATGCGACGTCCCCGTCAGCTTTCTTAGGTTACGTGTACGTACGGCATACGTGTTTAGAGGTTATATCGCGAAAAACATAACGGTATAGCGCTATCTCTCTTTAGATAATCTCAAAATATATTTCAGATAAGATGGTCCTGTTTTATAAATTCTGTCTAAAAATTAGATTATAAATTTTTTTCATCTTGACGAAAATAATAATAAAATAATGAAAATAATAATAATAAATAAATAAATAAAAAATGCTTAAAAAAAAGAATTTAGAATAAAAACATTATCAACTTTTTATTTGGAAATCATTATAAAAAAATTGTTTTTAATAGTTAGTAAACTAACTCGCTAAATATATTATCTTAAATAATTTGAAGAAAATATTTTTGAACTGAGAGGAGGTACTAGATAGTATATAATTACTTTATCTTGTATAATTATCTAAATATTTTATATAGATAATAGAAAATGCTACAATACATATATTGTATATTATATACACGTTTATAAGATGGTTCAAGAGCAAAATTTTAATATAATGTACAAATGAAAAGAACTTGTTAAAAATTATTTGTACAAAATTGATTTTTTTTATTGAACGTTTGCAATTGTTACAATAATTACAGAACGATTACAACTTGATTTTTATCACGCACATATTTACGAAAATAACAGATTGTACGTAAAAAAAATGAGCAATTAATGAATCTTGAAGAAAATGTAAACCTTGCTAAGTACAGTATGACTTTTTATGTGGGTTTTGTGCAAAAACAAATTATTGAGTATCATACTATTGTCCCTATAGAAATGTTAAACATACATGTACCTATATATTACAGAGATAAATTAGCTGTAATATTACAGATTACAGCCAAATGACTTCTTCCATAATATTGCCTGACATACTCATTGAAAAATGCAAATGTATGTATGCATTTTGTATATCAATTATTTGAATTAAATATTTCTTATTCAAATATTTCTTATTCAATTTGTTTCACTAGAATTCTGAAAATCCAAAATTATTTTTAAAAAATTATTGCAATTTTCTTGCACAGTGCAGATTTTTTGTATCAATTTTAAATAATGTACATATATAAATATTAATATATTATAACATTCAGTCATCAGAACCAGCTGTTCTCTTTGCTTTCCTTTGTCTTGGACTCTGCTTTGGAGTTCTAGGAGATTTATCTGAAAAAAGCATGATTAATTTAAATTTTTGTATTCTATCAATTTTGTATACAATTACTTTTGGTATACTAACTAATCAAGAAATTAATCATATTAACTGAAGATTTGTATAATAGTGTAATTTGATTATATTTTTAATATTTGATAGCATACAAAAATGTTAAATAAATTTGTATTATGCTTATTTAAAATCAAACTAATTTCTAAAATATTATTTAAAACTATGAAGTCACTGCTAAGTTTCAGAATTTCTTGTATAGTTTTAGAAAATTATTTTTGTCATGGATAAAAACTTGCATAGAAATAATGTTATTAAAAAGCTATTTAACTCTTTTAATTCAAATTGATATGAATAAATTTAGTGGCTATTAATTCATCACTTACTGATTCTATTAAGAACCTCCTTTGGCAGCCAATCATAATCTACATTATTTGGATTAGATGTGCCCATTTCTACTGTTGTTTTACGAGTAGTAGAAGAGCGCGACTTGCGTCCGAAAGATGATAACAATTGTTGACCTCCTACAAGGGCCAATATAATGCAAGCTGCTAGGAATACATAAAGGAAAACAGTTTCTCCATCGAGACCATCATCTATCTCTATGATTTGTACAGTTTCATTGAAGACTGCTTCATTGTATGAAATCCCATTCTGCAAAAGCATAATGTGTTAATTTCTGGAAATAACATTTACAATTTAGTATATCTAAATATTAATGATATTTAAATATACTAAAAAAAAGAAAAATAAGATTTCAAGACTTAATATAGTAGTAATAAAATGTAGAATAGTTAATAAATATAATAGATTAAAATATTAATCCTATCAATTTTTAGAATTCATTTTAAAGCAATTCTTAATTTTAATAATATAAATGTGTTCTTGCTGTAAACAAAAAATTATACTTTTATGTCTACAAGTTTAGTATTATATATCTTTCTTCTTTTAAATTTTAATCTTTTTCATGCCTCATATGTATAACACACCTTACATATATAAAATTATACATACCGTGTCTCTATAATTCAAATTAACATTCAATCCAAATGGTCTTCCAGCAAAACTCTCAGATGGTATGAAGGAATAAGCCAAAGTAGCTTCATGCTTAGGTTTCACAACCTTGTTAAATGTGAATGTAGAGAAATTTTGAATATAAAAATTGAAGTCCATTGCATAACGGAAAGATGCATCCAGCGATTCCAAAACAAAATCGTTTTCACCCTTATTAATAAATCCCACAAGAAATTCCACAACATTCCCAGCTGGTAATTCTATAAAATTTACAATGTATTTTAGTACCAAAATATCATGTGTTATAATCTTAATAGCAAAGATATAATTTAAATACCAAGAGTAGATAGCATGTTGTAAACAGGTTTTGTAAAAAGTATTGTTGTATCAGCATCAGCTGAGGCATTACTGGTACTATCTTCTACTGTTTCTTCATCTGTTACTATATTGCCTTCTTCACCTTCTACATCAACAATGTCATCAATATTCTCATCTTCTTGAGCATAGACACTATATCCTATAAATATAAAATTAAATATAAAGATTTATGTATTAAACTTCTTAATACAAGATATGATAGAATTTTCGAGTAATATTCAAACATTGTATATGGAGCAACAATTATAATTACATTTTTATATATTGTAAATTTTGCAATTAATAACTTTGAAGAAAGATCTTTTAGACCCAGATGTTTCATTCATGTTAATATTGTGTACAAAAATATATATATTTAGAGATATTTAAATTTCTAAAAAATATATATAAATCATAATTCATTACAGAAAAGCCTAAATTTTCTGGTTCATCACCAAAGTATCCTGTTTATACTAAAGTGTCACAGAATATTATTTGCACTTAACAAGAGTCGGCGTACTTAATAACAGCTGGAATTTTCGGAGTAATTTCTATTACATAATTTAATCATTCGTTTAAAATTATTTCACCAATCAAACCGATCAGGAATACAAGAAAAGAATCGAATGTTCATTTATTGAGCGTTAACTTGGATATAACCATGAAACAGCATAAATAAGTCGTAAATCTCGACATTACCTCCGTTGAGTGCAATCGCCGAAAGGGCGAAAAATAGAAAAATGCTAAATCCTTTCATTTTAATCCACTGCTCAGCAGGCAATCCTTCTGTTAAAAATCCCGGTTAATTCGCTCTCACATCCACTCACTACGATGCCTCGCTACGTCTTACGCGAGGTCGCGAAGTTGCCTCGGCATAATGTGACGGCTACCATTTACCAGCGTCCCGCCGCGTGGCTTACGTGGAGGGTCAACAGGGAACTCGTCAATTCGTCAACGTGGAACGCGAATGCAACGCAGCACCGTGGCATCGCCACGGAACATAAACAGGACGAAGAGAGTTTTATGCGGTGTTCACACTAGTCCAATACTCGACGTCCAATGGGAGAGCTTGTTTCCTAGAAACAAAAATGTCGTCAATCGAAATGTGCGGTTTCTATTGGATGACAGCTGACATACGTCAAATGCGGTATGAATTTTTCATTACGGCATGTCATCTATGTATTTATTACGTTTATGTGTTTCTGTAGCCGACAGAAATTTGACAAGTGTGGTGTATTTGTCATATGATATATATTGTGTTTGATTTTATCGGTTACTAAATTTAAGATAATCTAGCAGCGTGAATAATTATTACAATTTGTATATTCTTATGCCATAAAAGAAGAAGGTCATTAAATTTGCATCCGTTCCATCTAAATGTAAGGATATTAATTCTTGTTATGCTCTGTCTAATTTATTTAATAATTATTTTCGTAAAATTAATATTATTATCAAATTTGATGTTTGATTCTGTGATTTGCGCTAAACAATTACAAATCAAATGAACGAAGCTTGGATATATTATAAATAACGAACGTTGATATTGCAGATTGCAAATATGACGGGTCTGGGGATGGATTTCGAAGATGACTTCTTCTTCGAGGAGGATAAAATGTTGGTTATGGAGATTTATCGATTGCGATGACACTTATTTTTGTTGATAGCTGTTATTTGTTACGTCGCTGTTTACAGTCTTAATGTGCTTTCTTTCCTGATCATAACATGCATGCCTGAACGCCACGGTGCGGTGGACCCACAGTTTGATAAGCGATTCGACCTTATCCACAAATAGTGGCGCATTTCAAAATTCAAGCGGATCAACTTCGGATAAAGTTTCTGTTGTTCTTACCACCGTACCATTGGCTATCGTCGAATTGCACCAATTAGCTATAATGGAAGATCGCATGTATGCACTATTTTTATGTTACAGTTATATTGATTTTTTACTTTTTCTTTTGGCTTACGCATACCTCTTTTTGTATCAAATATCAATTCTTTTCTTCTACATTGTCGCTTATCATATTGGGATTTAGACCAGACATAGAACTGGTCGCACAAGATCAATGTATACAACAGAAGCCTATCAATCAGATGTAAGTCTTCTTTTTCTTTAGCATTTTTGTTATCAAAGATACCTATATTATGATTTATATAATAATGCAACTATCTTTAATATTAAAAATTTATAGAACATATTAACATAAACAAGAGCAATCAATTTTTTTAAGATTATAGAATTAGATGTTATGTAATTCCAAATTCCAAATAATATTAATTTTGTCATTTTTTGGGAAAAAAAGTAAGTTTTACAGTTATGATATAAATATTGTGTTTTTATATAAATATATAATTGTATAAATGAATATATAATTTCATATAATTATTAAATTTTTTAGCTGTTTTTAATTCTATTTTTTTTGTTCTTATTGAAGTATTAAAAAAAAACAGATACATATAGGGAGCAAGATTATTGATATTATCCATAAGTAGATTATGGAATGTTTTTCTCTTGCTATACTTTATTATTTAATACAATTTTGACTATATTTAATTTTTATTTATTATATATATCTATATAATAAATATATATTATATAAATCTATAAAATTGTATTTGTATTATATATATATATATATATATATATATATATAGAGAGAGAGAGAGAGAGAGAGAGAGAGAGAAAGCTTCTTTTATTTGAGATTTAATTTTGATAATATATGTCAAGTAATTTTTGTGCACATAATTCTTGTAATATGTAAGAAAAAAAAGGAGAAATTTTATGCTATATATGCTATATATATTTTTTTTATTTGTTATTCTATATATTTATTTGAATTTTTGTACCTAGATAATCTTTCATTATTATGCATTTTGCGAGCTTTGCAAAATTTAGCTATGTAATTACATTTTGTGATTTATGTGAGAAATTTAGTTGTATATATACATATATATGTATTTATTTAAAATTAATATCACATACTTATATATATATTTTTTCGAATATCAGGGGTATGACAATTACATCCGGTAATATCATGGTGCAGAAGGACGCCAGTAATCTCATCGGCATAAGCATCGGCGGTGGTGCACCGCTCTGTCCATGTCTGTACATTGTACAGATCTTTGACAATACCCCCGTCGCTTTAGATGGTACTCTTCAAGCAGGCGATGAGCTTGTGGCGGTGAACGGGGCATCAGTGAGAGGCAAAACTAAAGTGGAAGTCGCAAAGATGATACAGTCTTGCGATTCTCAGGTCAGCATTAATTACAACAAGCTACATGCTGATCCGAAACAAGGTCGCACGCTCGACATTGCTCTCAAAAAAGCAAGTATATTATTATTTATTTGTTTATTTTTTATCCTATTGAAAAATTACACAACTAAATTTTTTATTTTACAGGTGAAACATAGACTGGTCGAAGGTATGGGTAGTACTACGGCTGATGCTCTTGGATTGTCACGAGCCATTCTCTGCAACGATGCCCTTGTCCAAAGATTGATGGCGTTGAAACGTACGGAGAATTTCTATAGAGGTCTAGTTACGCATGCCAAAGCTACATTACATGCTTTCTTTGATCTGACACAGATCTATAAAGGTATTTTTCAATCGAGTATTGGAAGTAGCACGTGTTTAAAATCATATGCTCAACTCGGCTGTATTCCTTAGTATTCGGAGACGCGTTTGCTGCTATAGGAGTACGAGAACCGCAACCACGCGCTAGCGAGGCTTTCAGACAATTTGGCGAACAGCACAGGCAAATGGAGAAATTTGGTGTGACAATGTTGAAGACCTTGAAACCAATATTGAGCGATTTAGGGACGTATTTGAACAAGGCTATACCGGACACACGGTTGACTATCAGCAAATATGCTGACGCGAAATTTGAATATCTGTCCTACTGTCTAAAGGTGAAAGAACTGGACGACGAGGAGCAGAGTTGCGCTGCTCTGCAAGAGCCTCTCTATCGTGTGGAAACAGGCAACTACGAGTATCGGTTGGTCTTGCGATGTCGGCAAGAAGCTCGCGCGAGGTTCGCAAAGCTGCGCTCGGATGTGTTAGTAAAGCTCGAATTGCTAGATAATAAGCACGTTCAGGATGTAGTGTGGCAGCTGCAGAAATTTGCGGCCGGTCTGGCCAAGTACTACGCTAGCACGCGAGATCTGTTGTCGGCGGTGACGCTATTCCCAGTCGAGGTCGATTTATCGCATTCCGCGTTTCAGTATAAATCCACCGGACCGCAAACGCTGACGGATTCGAGCGAAGACATCGAAGAATACGAACCAGAGGAGAAACAGTGCATAAACGAGGAACTTCTTATCGATACATCGAATTTCTCAGCAGAACCGACGGATAATACATAGCGATATTTACAGAATTTTTAAATAATTTCGTAAGTTGAATAAGATGATTTTTATATCACAATCAACAAAATACAAAGTTTCGTAATTTAATTCTAATTGTCATATTTCACGTCGAATGAACGATGTATTGTACGCATATATTCCTTAAAATCGTGATTAGTATAGAATTCCTAAATTTTTGTTACATATAATATCATTAAATGCAACAATTGCATTTAATATTTCTGCATTGTTATGTACAGTGAAGAGAGGTAGATAGAATATTGTTATTTTCAATACATAATTTGCATATAAAATATATTTTTAACAGTTTGCTTATCTTTTTATCTTCTAAGATGATATGTTAGCAAACCAATAATTTGTTACCAGATTTTGTCTAACTCAAGTGTTCTACGTCAAGTGGAAGCAGTGTTTATTCAAGTACAAGATTTTATCTCTTTAAATTATAGATATTTATAATATAACAATTTGTAAAATAAGATATAATGTGAGAGATACACAAAAGTGTGGTGTCACCAATGTATATTTACAAAAATAAAATACCAAAAAACATATGAAAACTGTCCATTTTTTGTCACTTAGTCATTTGTAGCATTTTTCTGCTGTAAGACGTGCACATATAAATGAAATAATATTCTTTAATATTATATATGCTATGATTTTTGAAAATGATTGTATATTTGTATGTCTGTGTGTGCATAATGGTTTTTTTTCTAATTGTTATTACTATATGATATTAATAGTGATAAACGCTAAAGTAGCAAATATAATTACAAAACATTAAAATAATGTTTTAATTAAAGTAAAATTAATAAAGAAATGAGTAAATAAAATGAGATAAATTAAAATACACACATATCTATATATATATAATGTTAAAAATTTAAAAGTAACTAATAAATTTTTGCAAAATTTTAATAAAAATTTTTAATTTTATTTAAAAAGAAAATTTACTATTAATGTTTTATATATAATAAATTAATGACAAGTCTTTTGTTTTATGTTCCAACAAATGTTTGATGAAATGCGACATGCGTTCGAATTTAGCGCTCATTATCCCATGTCACGCGACATCTGCTGTGAAAAGCTTCTCTTCCGGTCTCTATGTTCTTTTGCCTTCCGCTTGAATCACGGGAACTTGGGTGCTTGTTCTCTTTCGTGGAGCTAAGGTCTTATCCGGCAACTTGCACCATTTAGAAGTTCCATCGTAGTCTCAGAGACGAAATTTAAACATAAAAAATGACGACCGAAGCAGAACTCGCTTGCGTTTATTCCGCTTTGATACTCGTCGATGACGATATCGCTGTAACTGTAAGTATCGTTTCACGTGGATTCTTACCGCGTTATTATATTTGCATTATATTTACCGATCTCATCGGAATGAATGCATCGCATTCTTAATATTTATTCATTAAATATTACATTTGTATCAGCTACATTGTATGTTTTCGTTAAAGTTTTCCTATTAAAAATTCTATTGTTAACCTCTCTTTCAAAGGCTAGATATAGCATGGTAGTGTATTCTATGAATTTTATATATGAAGTCTATTATATATTTTATATAGAGATATTTTTAATATTTTGCTACAATATATTCATATGAATTGCATTTATTTTTTATCAATTTTTACAACAGAAGAGTACAATTTTATTTCCGATCATAATATATATATTTGTAATACTTATTTTTATAGTTTATTTGGTATTAATGAATATTAATAAATAAACTTAAATCAATGCTTTAAAATTGACATAATGTATTATGATTAATATAGATAGATATTAGAAATAAACATCTTGTTGTCGCTGCAGTTGTTCTTATTACGAAAGAACCTATATAATAGATGATAACATATTAATAATAATGTAAATATATTGAATTATATTGATTATATTTTTATTCTATAGGGCGAAAAGATACAAACAATTCTGAAAGCAGCAAATGTAAATGTTGATTCTTATTGGCCTGGACTTTTCGCCAAGGCTTTAGAGGGTGTAAATGTTAAAGAACTGATCACCAATATCGGATCTGGTGTTGGAGCTGCACCTGCAGGAGCGGGTGGTATGTATATTTTTCTCTGCAACAATAAATTATTCACAATCATTGTGCAAATTTTAATTATGTTTCTTTCATAATTTATTACTGTGAAGTGCAGGAGTTATTGAATAGCTATTTAGATTTAGATGTTTTGAATCAGATAGCAATTGCATTTCAGTAAAATAGAAAGAATATTTATTGTTTAAGTTGATTAAAAAAGAATTGCAAACTTTTATTCCATATCCTCTTCATCCACTGATCTAGCATATTTGAGTAGCTAGTTTGGTCAGTAAAAGAGGAGAAAGAAAATGAAAACAAAAACTTTCTGATTTTATTCACAGAGATATAATCAAGTTTTTGTTAGTAACATTATATAAAATTGTAATTTTTAATATAATTTTAACTGTTTTATAACATTTTTACTGAAAAATCAATTTGTAAATATCAATAATTCTATATAAACAATAATATTTGTAACAACAATACTAATAATATTTGTGTTTTTAAAGCTCCTGCTGCAGCAGCAACCGCTGCCAGCACTGAGGCTGCTCCAGCTAAAGAAGAGAAGAAAAAAGAGGAACCAGAAGAAGAGTCGGATGATGACATGGGCTTTGGTAAGAAATGTCAAATTTATAATATTTAATGTCAAAATATTGACAAAAAATACAGATGTAAAGAATATTCAGTGATTAATTGATTAATATTGCATGTATTAGCTGAATACATATGACGACAATTTCAAAATGAGAATACACAGAATTAAATCGACTTAACAAAATATAATTAATTTCTATCTTAATCACATTGCACTATTTGATTACAGGTTTATTCGACTAAGCACAAGGATCGTGTTGGTCCATTCCTTTATATATGTACAGTTACATCGTACAATAAACGATAAAACAATTTGATAAGAGGTATATACTTTCTTTTTAACCATAGAAAAGCGATCACAAATAATGAAGATATACTTTTTTAATTTTTTTCTAGTACTTTTTACTATTTATATGTTCTGTTTCTCTATATATATGAATATCAATGAAACATGCACAGAACATGTTTGATAAATACTATATGTAGGATGAAAATATATTATTTTCTATTTCTTTTCTGCTATACACACATGTACATCCGAATGTCTGTTTTCTTTAATATATCTATCGAGTGAACTACAATTCGAACCATATATTTTGTCTTCGGCGTGCTGATTGGTAATTTTTAATCAATTTAATCTCGCTTTATATTATGTTTAAACCTAGTTCCTCTACTATCATATTGGATTATGAAACGAAATTGTGAATTGTTTTCTTGCGATTTTGTTGAAATAAACTAATTTTTTTTTTTATATCATTACTCTTGTCTGATAATATAAATTGATAGTCTTTTTTTGTTTTGTAAATTCATTATAATAGCTCGAAATCTTGTAAAAACTTGTAAAATTAATTTTTATTAAAGATATAGGACATGATTGAATTACATATATGAATTATCTGTATTTAGTGCTAGATAAAAAAAAGAGATAATTTTTAATAGATTTTTTTATAAATCATCTTATCAAACGTGAATAGTGTGTGAGAATTAATTTATTTAAATATAATATTTCACAAGAAAAGTTTATGAGATTCTCGTCATATAATTCGATATGATTGCACTGAGGAAACAGGAATCTTAATAACAATTATTCCATCAATGAAAGAGCCTGCTTTCATAGGTGGATTCATCTTTCTTTTTTATGTTATAATCTGTCTTGTGTAACAAAATGTGAAAACAATTTTATATATATCACTATAATATAGAATCAACGTGTGTGATTATTACAGTTTATCATATAGTAATTCAACTCGATTACATACTTTTATGCTTTCTAAGATGATTGATAGGATATAACATCCTGTCATATTTCATCGTTAATCAGTTGGTGTGTATGGAACGGAAATGGTCATAAAATGTTTGATGTACATCATAATACAAGTACTACTTGCATCATGATGTACATAAAATTCTGGATGCACACCAAATTTCCTATTATTATTTCTCTTTCATGCGCAGTAAAATATAAAAATATATATAAAATATAGTATAGCTGTTGATAAGAACGTGTAAAACGTATTTGGTATCGTTTGATATGCGGATTCGATTGTTATAGGATTATAACAATCGATCATAAATATAATACGCAGTATAAGATTCAGTGTAAGCAAAAATAGATACGGCAATGATTTTTGCCAATTTGCTAATGATATACTATAAATGTTAATAAAAATAATTCGTATAATCGTTATATACAGTCGAAAGCCGTGTTACGAAACCTGCAATGTTCTTAGAAGTGTGTCGATGCAAAAAAACATTCTGAAAATACGATTCTCAGAAAAGCCTAGAACTAAGAATATATAATACTATATTATAATAATACAAGTTATAATTATTAGATATACGGCGCCAGCGCATCAATTTGCATCATTTTCTAAAGAAGATATATTTTGGAATATTAGTTTTGTTTGTTCAATATTGAATTATCTTGTTTATTCAATTTGTGAATGGAAGAGATGGTCAACTCTTGATTCTTACGGAAGCATTTCATCGTACATTTCAAAATAGTTATACGATACGATGCATTCTCATATATTTTAATATATTCTCTTAATCTTTCAAGTCGCCGTTATCGCTGTGTTGCCCTTCTGGTTCCGACAACGGTAACCACTGCGCTGAAGCACCTTTGCCAGATAATACACGCTGAAACAATTCTCTTTGGCACGAGCCGGATACCTCGCATTTGGCTAAAAGATCGCCGTTAGCTCGTAACACGGAGAATTGTAAGACACACTTCGGTAACACGTCGCTACTGATGTCAAAGCTAAGGATATCATTCCATACAGGACTAGTAGTCTCACGCTGTATACCCGATTTTTTCTTTTTAAGACTCTTACCATCCTGAATGAGCGATACCTAAAATGATGCAGAAATATTAGCGATAAAAGTAAAAAGATTCCAGAAAAGTTACTCTATACATATTATGTACATATTATGTACCTTTACATATGAGTTGGCATTCGCAGGGTCGTCGAGAACAGGTAAATTTCTCGCCCTGACGACAATAATTGTCAGTTTTTCCAGAGACACCTGATACGAGATAGAAACCATCAGTTCTCCTAGAGGTGGTGCCTTGAAACCACCCTCTGCCCCATATCGCAGAACTGGTTTCGTAATGGTCATCAAGTTTGTACCAAGATCCGGTACGGAACCTAGAGGAAGCTGTACGTAGCCCAAACCTCGGTGTCGCGTGAACGCATCAAAATCGTAGAGCAGGATTTCCAATGTCCTTCCGGCCAATGATGATGGAGGCGATACTTCGAAGACAAAATCCTCGTCGAATACTAGAGGAATGAAATCAGATGTACAAGGTATCTTTTTTATGTTTCTTGAACGAATTTTCTCTTGCTTCCTTCATGATGAATTTTATGAATAATGAGAATTTATTTACCAGGATTCAGAGTACGCCTGTGTATCGTGGTTTGCCATACGTTGCTTCGATCAGGCAGCAAACGTATCTTAGCATAAGGATCTGCGATGCCGCTCAATTCCCGGGCACGAAGATCGTGCGCCTTTTAGAAGAAGAAAATGATTATTCCAATTGTATATATTTGACGGAACGATGAGAGAGATAAATTTGCAAGAAATTGAAATATTACCTCGATAAGTCTCACAGTAAGTATTCCAGCGTTAGCGTCGTAGATCAGTCCTAGTTTTAATTCACCTCTGATTTCATCAGACGATGAGGTCGAAGAGGATGAAGAGAGCTACAGATAATAAATATATAATTATACGATAGACTCGTTAAAAAATTGATGGCAATAATTAAATGATAAAATTGTATGATGTGTACCTTATGTCGTCGAGCTGAGTCGACGATTTCGACGCTATTTAATCGGGACTGAGATCCATCTATACTTCGTGGCGGCTGCCTGACGATTACCATGCGCTTCTCTGATGCGACCACTGCACCTTCCGGAAGAGGTGGTGCGAGCGGACTTATCGGAGACGGAGGAATATCGTCTGATTCCGAGAGATGATGCTGCATAACTACAAAAAGAAAATTTAAATAGAAGAATATATGTATAACAAAAGAAATAAGGTAGCGCCGTGTAATTCTTGTCAATCGATCCAACGTTCTGATTTTAGATTCCAAGAATATATTATATATATATATATATATATATATATATATATAAAATAAAATATTTTGTGTATATATATATCTATATATATATATATATATATATATATATATATATATATATATATATATACACACATATATACACATAAAATATTTTATTTTTAATCTGATCATTCTATTCTCAATACGATAAGATTTTTGGGACACTCGATGCATTTACCTCTTCTAGGAGAATCGCTGGCAATGCTGTCAAATACATGATCTGATTGCCATTCATCGTCATCAGAGTGACTGTCACTACGTCTGGTAATTTTGTTATCACGTGAAAGTGTGACACCAACCAAAACGTCCTTTGACGATCTGGCTGCTTCCTCGGCTCTGTCCAGCAAATCCCTTTCAAACCTACGAAAGAATCATCTTATTAGATTATTTATTCCTTTATATATTTATATATACAAATTATATTTTACCAAGTAACATCATGTATATAATGTTTCAGAACAAAATAATCAGCTGTGTGTCTTATCTGAATATAGTGAATGAACATACATGGAAAAACACAAAGATACGTGCCAGTTAAGTGGTCCTCCGACCGAAGTAAGCAGTGGCAAACGTCGGCGACGTGCACAAATGGTGTAGACAATCACTGCCGAGATCGCCCCGGTAGCGGCTCCAACTGTACCCAGAACGGCGACTACTCCAGCACCGTGAACATCCATCTTATCTACAATTGCGAATCTGTATCTGCATCATTTAAATCGTTTAAATCTTCCGGCAACGAAAGCGATTTAGTGTCGTAACATTTCGCAGTTGTCAAACAGCTGTCATTCGATCTCTTCGAGAAATTAATATCTCAACAATATTATTGACTTGAAAAACCCATATTTTATATATATATAAACATATTTCATTAATACATATTTCTCTTAGACTATACAGATAAAACTATAATTTGAAAATGAGAATGTAATCTTATCTAAGTTACTTAATTCAAACGAGGTCTATGTAAATATACGAAGAGAGAAATTACATGTCGTACTGATGGTCATCTAACGCTCATTACTGAAGAGTATTCTTTATATAGATTGCCGTTGTAAGGACGAAACGTACAATGAAAATGTAACTCAGGAGACACAGAGATCATCAGTTCGACATACGGTAGAGCAAGATAAATGTACGTCGACACTCACCCCCAATCTTTTCCGCGATGTTACATTATTCTCTTATACAGCTACAAAAAGAACAAATAGCTAGCGAGCGCGAGGGCTATTCCGTGGCCCTCTAATAAATCACAATAGGAACATCCCGTCACTAGCTCCGGAAAGCAATTCGTCACGTCCACTTCGCGACTGTCCACAGTTACATGTACATACACTCTTTGTCTACTTACCCTGTATAGACTCATCCTCCAGAAGAGCGTTTCCGTGCGCCTGCGTCCGTATACAAGCGATGACGAGGGATCATCGAGCGACCTTGAATTACGGGGATGAAGAACGCGTTTTGCGAGTACAATTCCGAAAGTTTTCCTATCATCTTGTTTGCATGCTCGCGTAAGAAATATAGTTGACAAAGATGGCAATGGCGAAGAAAAGTTTTAAGATATCAAAATTTATAGTCCAAATTTTCTCACATTTTAAGTGTTATAAGAAATTTTAATGTCGCGAGTAAAATGCGTATAATGATCATTAGCATTTCGATTAAAGCGTAATAATTTTTTTATAGGATCCCAGCAAACACCAAGTAATAATAATTATATAACTGTTAGTTATAATTTCCCATTCAACAATGTAAATGCAATATAACACGTGTGTTGGGATTTCGAATATCGTTGCTATGATCATTAATCGTCAGCCTCAAGATCTTGTTAATAAATTTAAAAAATAGTTTTAATAAATTAAAAATAGTTTTAATAATCTTATTTTTAATTTTAAATATTTTTAATTTTTATTTTTCTCTCTTCATTGAAATGGAGGCCAAATATAACTCTAGTACACGCGCAATTCATAATTAGTTATTCTTTAAATAATATATGTCAATGACGTACACGTCAACTTAAATCCGGCACTGAGGAGACGGCTGCTTATCTGCTTATCCCATATATATATATATATATATATATATATATATATATATATATATATCATTAAGAGAGAAAGAGAAAGAAGAGAAAATCGATATCTTTATTGAGATTTCCGTGTGTAATCGCGTCCTAAATCGCTCTTTTGTCCCAGTAGTATCATTTTCGTACAGCAAGCCCAAATCGTGTATTATTTTGTTCTCTGTAAAAATTTTTAAACATAAATTATCTGATAAAAAAACTCGCGGTACACAAGTTAATGCAATATTTTTTTTTCATCTTGCTTTTTTATGCGTGTGAAGGAAAGAGGTCTACCTAGCATGCGAAATTTTGTTTATGATTCGATACGTGTTGAATTTTAAGTAGAATCAAAATATTCTGCCTGCAAATAAAAATTCTATCTGCAAAATAAAAATTAAATAACATCCATTTTTATCATATATATTTATTATATATATTTAGATTTAATTTAATGTTTTTTTTAAATTAGAAAAACAATATAAAATATTTATCGTTAATTGCGATTAATATATTACATTCAATATTATATGTATATACATATAAACTGTTTTATGCATGAATATATAAATGTATATTAAGTGTATTACATATATAAAATCTCCGATTATTTGCATATATGATTTGCGCTTGTGATATATAATAACACATTTTACATAAATTTTTAAATATTTATAATATATTATTCATCTATACGCATATTTGTAATTTGTATTAATATATATTTATGTAAAAACAATATTAATAATTAATTTATATATATTTATATTATCTATGATATTTACAAGTTAGAGGAAAAAATATAAGTTATTGAAAAATAGTGTTATCTCTCTTTTGTCACGTGACTGGTTTTAGTTCACTCATAATCCGAGCAGCGGCGCTGAAACTAATCTCCGTCAGCTATCAACAATCGTCAAGTATGGCGACCAAAAGGTTAAGCAAATTATGTACTCCTTTTAACAAGTTATGCAAAAGTAATGCACTTGCAACAAATGCAATAACGCAACGTACGTATGCAACTGTGGACGAAGGTGACACTAAAGTCATTCACACTGGTCAGGTGAGCTATCCTTTACTTTATTTTTGAAGGAAAAAAAACTCTTTTAATAACCATGTTTTTTCTAAACTAAATTAATTATTAAATAACATCACATTTTATCAGGTGTTCGAGAAAGATGATTATCGATTGGTGAGATTCATAGATAGGCCAAAAGAAGTTAATAAAATTGGGCGATTAATTTGATAAATGAAGTGCCACCATCTCCTAAAAAGAAAGAATAGTAGCTTGCGATGGTGGTGGAGGCCCTCTTGGACATCCTAAAGTGTATATAAATCTTGTAAGATGTGTATCTATGCATATATGAAATATTAGAACTATAAAAATATAACAGATTGAATTTATTATTAAAATTAATTTAATTTAAAAAGATTACATTTTTATTTTATTTCTTTTTAGGATAAACCAGGCAATCATATCTGTGGTTACTGCGGTTTGCGGTTTTATAAGGAGGATCATCATTAAGTAATCACTGTATATAAGTAGTTACATTATCAATTTAAAAATATGTATATATTTTAGAATGCAATGTGTATGTTTTGTTGAAATAAAATAAAACTATGTAATTTATGCAATACAATTTAATTAGATATTAAATTATTAATATATATTCCACACTTTGCTATTGAGTTACGCATCAATACTATAAGTTATATCTTCTAATAAAATATTAATAATTAATGAATAAGTTTTTAAGATAACCAAATTATAATTTACATCCATTTATTTAATATAATTGAAGAAATATTTAGTATTATATATAAATTAAAGATATATTTAAATAATTAGTAAAAAATATAAATTAGAGTTAAAAGCTTATACTTAATTGTAAAACAGTTCTTAAATATATTAGAAATTAACATTTTTTCGATAATAGAAATTCCTTGATAACAATTTTTTTTATCAGCCCAATAAAGAATATATGTTACTGAAAAGATTTTATTTATGCTTTATCTTTTATCTCACAAATTGTTTATATATGTTTAAATCTCATAAGGCTGTCTTTTGACTGTTCATACTTAAAGGTATTGCTTGCAGTTCTGTTCTCATACAAAGAAATTCTCCACAGACACACATTATTAATAACGACACCAGATTTAAACACCACCAGCTGAAAGATGTTGGATAAGTTCCATTGTACACCCAGCAACAAATCAGATGAATACAATGGGCTGTACATGCAAAGTCCATGCACAATTTTGTTCTTTGCACTAACCACCATAATGCACAAGCACCCACTAGTGCATTTAGAATAAACGTAACAATAACTAATTGTCCTCCAAAATCACGAACATGTATCTCCTTGTACTGAAAGACATAATCCAACGATTTTGTTGAACCTAGTATCGACGCTACAATCCAAATCCAGAATCCAAGACAGAAGTACATAACAGTCTGCACAGCAATTATCTGGGAAATTATAAGAATTGGATCCCATGTCGTCTTACGGAATTGTCCAGCAAGATTATTCATTATGTTGCACTGGAACGGCAACTTATTACAGAACTAAAAGTCTTTTAAATGGCTATACAAAATCTCTCATTATTCTGTCAAATACCTGTAAATGACAAATAAATATACATAATGGAAATAAGATATATAGTAAATAAATAATAAAATAAAAACATTAAAATGTGGAAAAAACAATATTTTTTTATAAAACAGTAATAAGATTTAAAAAGATGAACACAGTATATCATGATTTTGTTTGAAAATATTGATTGTAAAATTTGAGGCTAGAATATCACCACATGATGTAATACTTACATTATAAATCGAAATGTGTTGGATTATCAAAAACTGAATGCAGAATCATCCAATTTGTGAAGTATATTTCCAGATATATTACACAGGATATCGTAGATAAAAAAAGAACATACGTAAACAGAATTACAAGTGTAATTGTAAGATGTCCATGTCTGCATGATTAATGCAGGTAGACTGATAAATCGCCTTTCTATACTATAAATAAAAGAAGAGGCCAAAATATAATTTTTATCAAAATATTTATTCAATCGTAGAAACAACCCACGTTTATTTATTATATTTTATCAAAGCAGCTGTACACATTGATAAGAGTGAACTCTACCACTGACCACTGACTAAACTCTGCACGTATTGAAAATTGGAGTATGTAAATATAAAGGTGTAGTAGTCTCATGCATGCGCAGTATCGTATAAAACAACGGCCAATCAGAAATGTCTTATTGAAATGTTAGAATTTAATTTAATTTAATTCAGTAAATTAATAAATCAAATAAATAAATCAATGAATATATTATACATACATCATGGTATTATATTTATATTACGATTTGAAAAAAGGATAATGAGCTCTTGCATGGAAGATATGAATCACATGAAGTATAAAGCAGTGTATTTATAAACATATTTGTCTCCATTCTTTTTTATATATTTATATATATGCACAAATATGTGTATAAGTAGAAAATTTTTATGCACTTAAAATATCACTAATTATCGCTTATATGTAAAATTGAAGAAAGAAAAAAAGAGAATCGAAAAGGATATATTATTTGAATCAATTTTAATAAATATTGTTATATAATTTATTTAATGTTAAATACATAATATCTTAGAGAGAAAGAGAGAAAAGAAAATAATTGTTGCATCTCATTAATTGCTTATATTATATAGTATTTATAATTATTAGTGCAAATATATTTATATTTTCTCTCATCATAAAAATTATGCATATAATATGCTTTCTTCTAATAAGTATAATATATATATACATGTAAATTTGTTCTAAAAGAAATTGAGTAAATTTTAATAAGACCTTTCTTCTCTTTATTCTTTTTCATATTTTACCTTTTAAAATTTAAATTTAGCATTTTTATTTTTATAATACTTTCTCCAAAGCGAGATTATATTGAGCGTAAATTATAATTAATATAATAACAATATAATAAATAACATTCCATAGAAATAAGATATAGAAAAGTAATGTAAACTTTGTTTTATATGTCTATTACATATATACACAGGAGAATATTTATATAATCTTAAAAATATAATTATCTTTATCTTATTTGGATAACTCATATATTTAGAAAAAAATACATAGGCACTTTAACGCACATCGTGTCTTTTATAATATACATATATTTAGATTTAAAAATTAGGCATAATAGTTACATAATATTTAAAAATTTTATATAAGAAATATTCTTAAAAATATTACTTTTAATTATTTATGAGAAAATGTAATAAAAGTCAAATTTATATATATTATCCATATTTATATAAATGTAATGATAAAACATAAAAAAGATATTAAAATAATTGTTAATTAAACGAAGAAAATATTTTAATTTCTATATTGAATAAAGTTGTATTAAAAAGTATACATCATGAAATTTTGAAGTATTAATTTTGAAGATTAAATCATAATGTGTCCAATAGATTATACATTTTTTCTCTAATATGTGGTAATAAAATTATATAAACATGATACTAGCTAAAAACATCTTAGTATATATAGTCACACACATACATAGCATTATTAACATTTTATATCCCACACAAACCAGTACACATATATTCTATATTAATTGACTGCTATCTATCCAAAGAGAAAGATCTCATTTGTAATATAAATATATACAATACAAAATATATATATAAATTCTATTGTTAACTTATAAACTATAAATTGTTAAAAAAGCGAAAAACATGTTAAATTAATAATTAAATAATATACTTGTTAAATTAATAATTAAAAAAATAAACTCAATATATTAAAAAAAACCCCATTATATACATCTTTTTACATTCGTAAAAAAATACAATGTTATTCATACATCTGCTTATCAATATATTGCATTAAACGGTCGAAATATTTGTTTTATATTATATTTCAATGATAATATTAATATAAAAATTTTAAATTTAAAATGCATGAAAAAAATTATTTTTTAGCAAAAAAAAATTAACAATATTACAGCAGTAATCTTTAAAGAGTGAATTCTAAAATAACAATTTTTTAAATCATAATGTATTATGTTCGCATTAAAATAAATATTATTTTTAACAAAAAACTATAGTTATATTGAAAATTTTACTAATAATTCGACCATTTTATTTGCAATAACTTAATGCAAATGTATCCTTTATCAATTTTGAAAGATTTATGGAAAAATATGAATATATAAATATACTTTTCACACATAATAAATAAGCAATTATTATGCGTTATACGTAATATTTTAAATATGATAAAATGGTAGATGAAAATTACCCAATAGTAATAAAGATATTGCAATTACGGATATGTAATACATATGTACATAATAAGTTGTTAATCGTATAAGCAAACATGAGTATACACATATAGAATTCGCACATGATAAATTTATAAAGTGCTTCGGAAGTCGCAATAAATTATTTTACAATTCATTTTTAACAAGAACAATCATAATCTAGTAATAAAGTAGTTCTCTGAAACAGCTTCGAAATAGATAAAAATCGTTAATTTACATTACAGTATCTAACGGGCAATGTTAGATAATATTTAGTTCAGTCTTCTCCATGTTGCGACATTCGGTTTAGCTCTGCAAAATATTTCGTCTTTAGGACACGTCTTTGGAGAAAAATAAACTTTTTACAATTTCGATAACTATATAAATATGCTTGTTAACATTTGTGGAATCAGGCAATGGACGGTTACTTTGAAATACTTAATAATGGCAGAGAATATTGAGTTTAACTTTAATTACAGTATATACGATATGTAATAAATTTAACTATACTTCTATATGTGTATTAGAACACCTATCAATCGATCGATCGAAAGAAACTCTTATCTTTGGTTGTTAGAAATGAATTTGGCTCGTTTCTTGTTATTGAGTTGTGTCTTGACTATTTTTATTGCGATTGCGTAGCAACGATGCATCCGAAAGAGAGTAAGTACCGGGTTCAAATACCGGCGGATATTCTAAGCCGGGGTAATCGGGTGGCGGAGATGTTGGCGGAGGTATATATGGTAATGTTGGAGGTGCCAACGAGCTCCTGCTAGAATTGGAAAAGCCCCTGTGACCAGATAAATATCCGCTGCCATACTGTAAAGAAAAAAATCCTTTATTTATTGGATATTTCACTATTATATATAATCACTAATAATATAAACTTATATGCAAAATTTAATGTGATGTACATGGTTATAAATTGCATTTATTATTTTACATTTTCTATGTTCACTTAACTAGAAGTAGGTAAAGCGAAAATGATAAAAGAGATTGAAACAAGCGATAAAGAATAATAAATTCTAAGAGTAAAAAATAGAATTCGACTGTACAATACCTTTGACATGTTAGGTGGTGTTATTACATCCGGACTCCAATCGCTGGTTGAGCTGACCGAACTGAAACTTTGACTGAGCGTTTGGGAGGGACTGTTGCCGCTGAAAGAACTGTGAGATTGACTGATTCCACTATCACCAGGACTTTGACTACCGGAACGAGTGGACAATCGATGCTGCGATTGATTAGAACCTTTATCCCGAAATAGCGCTCTATGTAATCTCGGCGAGCCTATACACAATAATAATAAAATTTAAGAAATCGTTGCGTATTTAATATTCTTTATATTTAATAAGAATTACTTGCCTAATATGGTTTTTGAGTGTCTTTAGGAAGATCCAAAGTACAAGGCTTCTGCTGTTTGGTGCCAAATAAATTTTTCAAACGATTCCCTTTCTGCATCTGATCACTCTTATCCAAATGCATTTCAAACGCAGCTTTCATGCCTTCTTGTTCGAAAGGTGACGTTGTTATAGGTGGTGGTTGATATTGCGCAACGGTCTTTAAACGAATCTGATCGTAATTCAAGACTTTCTTGTCGCCTCCACCGCCACGTTTTAATGAGTCTAGCCAGTGTTTATCGGAAGAATTATGACGAGTGAGATTAAAACTCCCTTTTCGATTAATCGTTACATTATTTATGCGTTGTTGTGCTTCAAATGTGTGACTCGCGAGATCGTTACTAGATCCAGAATAATCTAAATAAAAAAAAAGATAAATTTAATGTTAATATATAATAATCATTATGACTAATTGATAAATAATATGATGAAGCAGTAAAGCTCTAGTCCTAATAATCTATGATGTCAGATGTAACAAATTATACAAATTCTTTTCTGCATATGATAGTACACATAAAAAGATTATTTTGACGTAGTAAAATAATGTAAGAAAAAATTCTTATTATTTTTTGCTTCTAACGACACAATTCAATATAAGAAAGGGAAAATATTACCGTCATTTCTAACGAGTCGCTTCGGTGGAGTCTTGAAATCCTCTATCAAGGTATCGATGTTCCTGGATGGAAGACAATCATGTGTCTGGTAGCTTTCGTGATTGGAAGATTGTATATTATGCTCATAATCTCTACTGTAACTCGGAGCATTATGCTTATTTATAGGGCTATTCATTGGGCTTCTCCAATGATTCGATTCGTCGTGTCTCGCTTGCTGAACATTCGCGAGCTCCTGCGTTCTTCTCTTTTGTGCGGAACCTGCAGGATCCTTTATTCTTTTCTGTCCGACCATGTACTTGCTACTACAAGATTTATCGCAATCTTCGCTGAATTGACGCATCGTATGCTCGTGCAAATTCGCATTTCTCGAGTGAGCGTACATCATGCTACCTCTCGACATTTCATCGTTAGCCTTGCCGTAAATGCAATCATTGCTCAAGAATGTATCGTTCAACTGTCTGATCTGCTCACCGTACGCCGCGTTATTATTCAAATTCCTATGATCCACATGCACATGATCGCCGGTCAAAGGTGTCGCGCGCGGAGACAACGATCTATTTATCGTACTTGACCGCTGTTGATCCTCATTTTGTTGCAACAACTCTTTAAGTGCGTTGAAGCTTTGCAAATCATCCGGTCTTCTATTACGGCTGTCGACGGATCTATTGTAACAATAAAATGTTGCGAAATATGTTATTTAATAATAACAAAAAAAGATCATTGTTATATTATTTAGCTTCTGTAGAGGAGAAACATTGTTCCGCGACATGCGACATGCAGGGAAAAAATGTATATAAAAATTACCTGTCCGTGGCACGACGGTAATCGCCCATGTCTTGATTACTCGACATATCAGTGGCGCTTTGTGAGCCGCTTAATCCATAAAATGTGCTACCCGCGATGGTCATTTGCAAATCCGGGGAATTTGAATTGGAATCTTCTTTTCTGTCAAGGAAAAGAAACATTGAGTATGTTGTAAAGAGGATATATCGGATATTCTCGGTTATTCTTACTTATTTGGTGTTGATGTGGGAAGTACTCTTCTGTAACTTCTAAATTGTGCTGTTGGAACGGGCATATTTTGATTTCTGGCACCGAGAAACTTTAGATATTTTCGATCCAAACTCGCTCCACTAATTTCATGATGATCTTTAAACGATCCGATATCCTTTCGTACGACCTTTTTCAAAGAGCCAAACGAGTTCTTCTCCAGATTCGATTTAGACTCCAAGGTACAAGATTTTATCTTATTCTTGTGACTTTCGTTGTCGCTCTCGTCGGTTTCACTGTAAAGTCCGATGGTCTGATTTTGGGTATCTGCACCGAGGGTGCCTTTAGTGACCGCGTCCACCCACAGAATCAACGAATCCTCGGCATCGGCGGCAAAATAAAACACCGTCCCGGTATGGTATACCTTGAAGGCATACTTCCTCGATTTTACTTCGGCAGCTGGCGATACAGTGAAGCCCGTTAACACGATCAAGCAGTCGGCTTTCGTACTGTCCTGTGTTTTAAATCTAAAAAAAATTAAAATTAAATTAATATATTTATTCTATACATAAAAGTTATAGTAATAGTCTCTCGAAAAGTTTTTACCTATACAATGATGAGCACTTTAACACAAACCAGGCTCTTGCCCAGGCACCGCCTGCTCCTCTGCTTCGATATACCAGCCATCCTTCCAAATCCCCACTACCAACTTCTTTTACGGATACGTTTCTCCTCTCTATAAAAAAGAGAGCAATATAATTTTTTTATATAATTCTCAAATAATATGAAATACAAAACATGGTTTTAAAAATATAACATTAGTCATATTAAACTACAATATTTAAATAGAAGATAATTTTGTATGAATCTGTATATATATTTCAACAAATTAAAAAAATTGATTAATATTATTATCGAAGTCAATCTGTCTAAAGTATGAATTAAGAAAAAAATCGTAACTTAATTGTACTTACTTGCCAACAATAGATTCCGTTTTCTGCTACTTCTTGGACTGCTGTTGGATTTGCTCAAACTACTGTGTAAGCCAATTCTAGCCGCTACCATCATAGCTCTATTAACAACACTCTTCTCGAAACTTTTATCCTTTTCCGACGATTTCGCTTTTAGATCCTGGGATATTTGTTTCGAGAGGGTCGCACCATCAATGCATTCGACATTTCGAGGAGAATGACCAGATTTATAACAGTCTGTTATAGATTGACTCGAGCAAGCGAACTTTTCGATGAACGGCTCGTATTTTTCAAAAGAGTATTTATCGTCCCTCGATTGTTTGTGTGTATTTTCATTATATAATGAAGTATCCGATTGGGTAAACTTTTGATCATTTAGACTTTTAATTCGTCCGAGAAAATCCACTGAATTTTCTGTATTAAGTACATCGGGAGAGGAATTTTCTCTATCTTGACAATCTGAATTGCTTCTGATATGATTTACAGGTAAATTTAAATTATCTACTTTGTTAAAGTCTCGTCTTATTTTAGGTCTCTCCGGAACTTGAGGTTTTTCCAAACTGTTCGGGATTTTTGAAGCAGCATTTAATTTTAAGTCAGTCACCGCTGCATGTTTCGTATAATACTTACGAGGCGGTGGTTCTGGTGGTGTTTGAGGTTTATTTTCGAGTTTTCTAACAGACTCGACCTTCGGTAACTCTATGTAACGGCAAGACTGCATTGTAGCCTGCGCCAAAGACGAATTTTCCGCAGACTTTATCTCCTTAGCTTGTGGTTTTTCACTAATCTGTACCCTGGAAACATTCGGCAAATCGTCCTCGATAGAAGATTTGACATTATTGCTTGGCGATATCCCTGTCTTGATAGAATCCTCTTTCGATGCTATTACGGAAGACTTCTTCTCAAGCAATTTCGCATGCTGAGTTAAGGCGCAATCGACTGTTTGCAAAATTTTGCTGAATTTCTGCAACGCCTCGTCTCTTTCAATGCTGTTGCTGCTATTACTAGTACTACTATTACTATTACTGTTACTAGTGCTATATGCTTCTTCGCTGTTTGACATTTCCGAGTTATTGCTAACAATATTTTCACGACAATTGTATGCCAAATTTGTCGAACAAATAACTCCAGCCGGATAGGATTTGCTTACATCTTTTTTGCACTCAACACTTAACTCGGGATGCTTCTCGTCACACGTATTTATATTTACTTGTGATATATTACATTCAATATTGCTTTGGTTTTTCTCTTCTATATAATTATTAGGATTTGCGTCGTTTACCGTAATGCGTATAATATTCTTACGCGAATCTAATTCCTTAGGCACTCCGAAGACACTTGCTTGTTCCTCTGCGTTTACATGCGCGATCTGTTTCTCAATGTCGCTGATCTTTCGCGCGACATTACCACTGCTGCATATCCTGGACAAGGATGTTTCTTCCTTATTCTCTTCGTTCGTATTCTTCGATATTACATGATCAACAGCGCTCTCATCAGTATACATTGTACAAACATCAGTCTTTGTTGAAGCACCACTTGGTACATTGTTGGAACAATGAGCAGGTAAATCTAATTTACAAAATGGATTCTGAAAGGGCACTAATTTTCTATCCTCCTTCTCCTCGGTGTCCGATAGATCGTAAGCAGGCGTACTGTAACTTTTATCCAATTTACCGCGTTCTTTCGCACCGGATCTTACGCCGGTATCCACGTTTCTTGGCGTGTTCTTATTAATACTACATGTATCGCTGATAAAATTATTACATTCATCCAAAGGCACAGTTATATCACTTACATTATTGCTATCGTTGACGTTATTCGTAAATATTTGCTCCTTATTGCTATTTTTATTTGTGTCATCGAAGCTTTGCGTAGTAGGAGCAACTCTCTCCCTCATATTGCGACTCGTTCTCTTCATTTCGTCCGGATGAGTACTTGCAACATCAGTCAACTTTTCTTCAAACTGCACCTTTTTATCGTCCATTTGTTCGTCAGTCTTTTTCCTCTTCTTCATCGTTTCTAATCCTAAACACGTTTGCGGCCGTATATTTACCGCTGGTAAGACATTATCCAGACCATGGGCGCAGGATGCCGCTTTGTCGCGCAACTGAAAGGTCGTACTGTGCTCTTGCTTCAGCTCCTTCCAAAATTGCTCGATATCGATACCGTGTTTCGACGTAGGACTGGCACCTGTTATCGTAGCTCGCCTCTGGACTAAATTTCTCGGTTTCGCGGAATACAAGCGAATAGAAAGAGGTGGTTCTACCTCGCTGTCTGAGTCGCTACTATCTGTGGCCATTGTATCCAGCATATTGACTGTATCTAAAATACTTGCCGGTTCTGGACTGGGATTCTTTGGCATATGTCTATGTGACAAAATATCTTAATTAGTGATATAAACGTTTTACACTTAAATTTAAAATATAAAGGAAAGCATTAACAAAATATATTTGTTAGACTAAAACTACATGTTATTGTATATTACACACATACATACACAAGATTTAAATTACATAAATCATGTGTATGCACATGTGTTAATGTTATTAAATAAGAAAAGAATATTAGCAGCAAAAGTCACAATTAAGATGTAGAAAGACAGCTTACCTAGGTAATGGCATTGTAAAGTCAGGTATTGTTAATAATTCTGGTCTAGGGGATGGAAGATTATGTTGCCATCGTGTTGTATAAAAGGTTTTTTTGTTACTTGGAAGTCTATATGGTTTTATATAAATTTGCCCGTAAACTTTAGTATGCCTTGGCCTACGTTTTAGAGTCAAGAGGATTTCTGCTGGGCTCTCACGAAATAATTCAAGCAAGTTTTTTCTCTCCCAACCAACTACCGTTTGATAATTTACCTAACAAATTTATACATATGTATATATGTTACTAATTAAACAATTTATCAAATTTAATTATATAAATTGGATTTTGCCTACCTGAACTATCTCATCACCCTCTTCCATTTTGCCACATTGGTGTGCGGCAGATCCAAATTTTATTTCAGCTATCTGATGTGCTCCATGGAAAGATGGCAAAATATAAAAACCCTGAGAAATGAAAAAAAAAAATAAAATCTAATTTTTATAATTAAATAAACAATATTGCAAATACATATTTGTGTGAAAATTGTATTAATTCAACAGTTGTATCTTGATTATGTGCCTACAAAGCAAATTATCTAGACAGGATGTCACAGTCACAATATTATAGTTTGTTTGATAGAGCTTTATCAATGCAGGATGTAATGACCAAATCATTTTAAAGTAAATATAGCTGCTCAATAAATAATCTCATTATTAAGAGAATAATTTTAATCAGTGTAACAAAATATTTTAAATAAATATATAAACTCTTGATACAAATATTTACAATATTAAGCTTGAATAAAGCATGAAAAGTTGATAATATGTAATAATTGAAATCTAGCTAGCAGTTACCAATTACATTATTGAGAACTTACCAAATCATCACCAGATTTCTTTTTTAATGTTGCTAGATCTAAACTGGCAGGCTGTAAAATCATAGGATCATCGTTATCTTGAATAATATAATCTGCTAATTTTGCCAATTGATCACAAGTTGTTCTAATTTCTTCGATTGGTTTCTCAGCAAATCTGTCTCTTTGTGCACACGTAGCCATTTCTAAAGATAGTTTCATTAATTCGGCCTTCTTGTCATTATATTCCAATTGTCCACAGAACGGAGGACGATCCAGCCATCTCACTAGTGGTTTGACTGCCATCACAACCGATGCTACGTCTGATAATGTTTGAGTTGTAACAGGCTTTGAATCGGTTTGACGAGATAATTCATTGTGTAAGCTGTGCGCCTGACATGAAAGTCGTAGTGCCAGTAACTGTAGATTTTCTCTGTCCAATTCATAATGAAAATTTCTCAGATACTCTACAGCCTCGAGTATAATTTCTTGATGCCCAAGTTTTAGTACACCCAAATGTTCCAAATCCTCTGGTTGTAAACTTAATAATTGTTGTCCATTAACACTATGATTCATAAAACTATGGACATAGGGAAGTATGGAATTATCTAAACCTGTAACATAAAAAAATTGTGTTGGTGATGGAGAACATTCCTGAGATGAGTCATAGGAGATAATTACCTAGAATTATACTTCATTGTTCTAATAATAAGGCATTAAGAAAAAAATGTTATCGTATTGTAGAGAAGTACTGGTATATAACTATAAATTTAATAAATTATGCTTATATAAAAATTAACGATAAATTATAATATATGTTATCTGTTGCTTTGTGCAGTATATATTTATATTTCTTTTTGATGAGAAAATACGCAATTAGAAAATAATGTCATAAAAATAAGTAACTAATAAAATATAATTATATATATGTTATATTAAATAAAATATTTGTAATCAATATCAATATTGGTAAACTGTCAAAACATAAAATTAGTATCAAACATGCCTACAAAATATAAACTGAGCAATCTTAAAAAATCATTGCAAGAAAATGGCATTCATTGTTAATTAAAGATTCGTTTAATCATTCGTATACTCCGAATCGATATTAAATTTCTTCGAGGGCACAGAAAATCATGTAAAGAATTACGCAACGATCGAACGAACAAATAAATGAATGAATAAACGAATGAATGAACGAATGAATGAATGAATGAAAGGAGTCATTTACATGCATTGATAAACCGATAGGTCGAGGGGAAGGGTGGAGAAAAGCGAATGGGGAAGAGAGGGAGGGAGGGTAAACGCGGAGAGAGAGAATGGATTTTCTCACGCACATATATTCACACACATAAAATTGAATAGAACATTCCGACATGTTTTTCGCGACATTGCCCGTTTTTTCCCACAATCTTAAATTAATAAAACATAAGTATATTCTTGCCGCACCTTTCAGCCACTCGCACACTTGATCCGTCTTCCACTCGGCTACATTGACATACGCCATGAGAAGGAGGGAGAAAGAGAGAGAGGTCCGATTGTATATTCCGCACGATGTAAAGGTTATATGATACGTCCGCGGCCGTTTTGCCAATTTTCTCTCTCTCGTCGATATGTAAATGTAATTCAATTTTGTAACGATAGGCACACGAGCACGCGTGTCGATGTGACGCGCGCGCGATACACACTGACACACGCCGCGCAGTGCATCATCATGATACAAGAAAATTCGGGGGGCGCGCATGCGCAGTAACGCCAAGCCTCAGTGAAGTACGTAGATATTTTACATCATATTCTAGATGAAAAAAAATATTAAAATGTTAAAAGAAATAATATATATTTTATATATTTCATTATATTTTTATATTATTTATATTTAGATTATATTATTTATATTACATATTTATATTATTTTATTTAGTATATATTTATATATTTTATTATATATTTTATATATTTTATAATTACATACTTTCTATTTATTTACATTTATTTTATCTCACCTTAATTGCGAATATTTATCACATATATATATATATATATATATATATATATATATGATGCTGTGATTTCTCCTCGTGACGTGAATTCTAGATAGTACATCGAGTGAGAAAATTCGGACTAGCACAGAAATTCACTAATTCAGTGCTGCCACGTTGCGTGACGTAAATTTCCTTAATTTACATAGTGAGTTGTCTTTCGATAATCAAATTTAAAAAAGGCGCGAATAATGATAACCTCCCGCTCAAATGTCACCGTGCGAGTGACGCAGAGCTGTGGAATGTGGTACGCAGTATAGCGCGGGTGGGGAGGAGTGGAGATGGAGCGCTGGTGGGAGGAGGAGTGGGGGTAAAGCGGCGGTAGGGGAAGAGGAGTGGGGAGAATGGAATGCGGCGTGGAGGTGAGAGGAAGGTGACAACTAGCGCGCTGATGGCGCATTATTTCATTATTTTTAATTCTAAATTTATCAATTTTTATTAATTTTTATTTATATTTATTTTTATTAATTTTTATTAATTTTTAAAATTATTATTTTAATCATTTTGATCGATTTGATTATTGTGTGTTTTAATTAATTTTAATTCGTGCGTGCTATGTTCAATAAAAAAAAATATCGTTAGTTAAAGTTACTAGAAAGCAAGCTCTTCTATTGGATGTCGAAAAATGTACTAAAAATAAATTTTCTGAAGTGAGCTTCTAAACTGCTCTACTCTCATTGGTCAATTCGCGACTGTCAATTGTGAGCCAACCATTATTCTTCGTGTGATACGGGCTTTAAACTTTTTCACGCGTCATGGCCTATAATGGACCAATACGAACTTTTGATAGACACTGATTGGCTGCCATGACGAATAATCACGAGACATGAATATCTAGACGCGACATGGTCGATCCGAAAATATCCTAAACTGAAAGCCAAGGTATTTCTGACGTTTGTGTACGTCGAACACATCAAACGCACTGTGAATCTTTCATTTTAGATCGCCAGAATACATTACTCGCTCGTCCAGGATGTATAGAAGTTCGATGCGGTTGGTTCTTTATATCTTAATTAGCTTTACCTTTTTTCCTGGACAGTAGTCGCCTCCGAAAGAGAGAGCGAGACCTGCGAGTTTTCGACTCACGGCTCTTCGCGTGTGACTCAAACTCGTGTAAATTTTACGGATGGGACTGGAATATGCATATATCTAGCGTGAAAATCGTATTGCTGACTTATTTAGGCGGAATGTTTTTTTAATTATACAAAAAAAAAAGAAAAAACTGCGCGATTACCTTGCAGTCTTTCGCACGGAGATACATCAAGAGACTACGTTTGACGTATGAAAAGATGGTGACCAATTGATATAGTGAGGTTTAATGATAACGCAAATCCCGAGTGTGTCCATTAATTTTCGCCGCGATAAAATCGTGAAAAGTACGAGGGATGGACGACGGCAGATTGTCGTGCGGAATATCGTGAACAGCCGGGGACGTCGATTTCGGTTCGTATCTCGGCCAGGCTACGAGCTATTTGTTCCTTCGCTCGGATATTTTCTCTCCGCGCGAAGAGAATTTACGGGGCTTCGTCGAGTGCGATAACATTTCGACGATGATTAAGTAAGATTAGACTTCGATGAGTTTGTAACTTTTCCGTCCGACCTCCTAGATATTTTTTTTTGACCAAAAAAATCAGTTGCATAATTTTCGATGTCAACTTGTATACAAGTTTAGAATGCGTTCTTATAAATTGTTTAATGATATTCTGGGATGCGATATACTTGTGTGCTGTAGATTTGTTAGAACAGCTGATTTAGAGCAAATATTTAATCATACTATATCGTTTTTTGAAGTGACAATTGCAACTTCTTGTTTTTCTTAAATGAGTATAATTTTTTATTTTTGTTATTAATATGTATGAGATTAATATGTATTTTTGTTATTATTTTTGTTATTCATATAATTGATACAAAACTAATTCTAAAGAATTGTTTTATAAACAATTGTGTTTTAATTCGTTTTAATCTGTTTATTAAACTTGCTCGTGTATGTTTGTTGCAGGTATTACAGGATAATAATTTGATAGAAGAATTATGAATTCTTTAAAGACATTATTTTGAAGTATAATTAACTTTGTACAATGTCCCATTGCGAGGAAGAAGCGGTATCGCCTGGTTTTCACCAATTAAGCATTACAAGTAAGTAATCTGCACGTGATAAGATATAAGGCATCATTGACATAAACAAATTCTTATCATAAAAGATAGGTACATAACGTTGTACAAAAAAATATTTCTGAAAAACCTATTTTAAGATATAAACTATTTTTGTTTTTTAAATAATATGTTTATTACACTACATCTTTGATTAAACGTTTTTTTTTTATTTAGATGCATATGCATATTTATATGTCATTATATGTCTTTAACATGTTAAATATCAGTTTATTAATTGTTGATCAAAATGTTTCATTACTCATGGTAATAATGTGTGTAAAAGATAAATATCTTAATCTTAATAGCCCATTTCTTGTGTTATAGATAACATAATAAATAATGAATAATTAATTTTCTTCTATTACATAGTATTTTCTTGTAATGTTCTATTTATATGTATAAAAATATTTGTTTAAAAAAAATGTACAAAATAATAAATTTAATTCTATATTTTTTTGTGAAGAAGTATAGTTTTATTATATGTTTATGTACTTTTAATATTTTTGTATTTTTCTAAAATTATATCAAACCTGAATTATATAAGCACAGTTGACAGCTCTATACAATATATGTTAATAATTGCAAAACATTTAATTATTTTAGTTGAAGCAGCAATATTGAGAAGTTCGACTTTCTTAAAGCCTAATCCATATATAGAGTTCTCAGTTGACGATAAAAGTCCTCGTAAAACAGAAGTATCAAAGTCTACGTATCAGCCAAAATGGAACGAAGAATTTACTATACTTGTCACGCCATATTCTCAATTGCACTTTCGACTTCTTGACCATAGTACATTTCGCAAGGATGCGTTAATAGGAGAAAAACGGATAAGCCTATTCCAAGTGCTCTCACATTATAATGGAAATTAGAAAATTTAGAATTAACATTTGATTTGATGAGTGAAAGCAAGCATGATTCACAATTATGCAAAGTTGGTGAATTGATTACTGTTTTTGATGGACTTAGAATTGATACTATTAACGAGACATCTGTAAATGTTAATGAACCACTTTGCCAAATACAATCTGATGGTAAGACCAATTTTATCATATCTGATATATATATATAAATTCTGTGGAAATTAAATATTCATATTTTCCTGTAACTGTTGAGTTTATTTAAAAGAGAGATTTCGAATATTAATTTTATATCGTAAGATATTTTCTATTTTTTGTTATACATCAGATATATGGTTTTAGGTGCCACAAACAATGATACAATGAATAATCGAAGTATTCTCAACGGCGGAGTTCGCGCGCGCATGAGATTGCATAGTTCAGAAAGTCTCGCGCCGTCGATGTGTCGTTTGACAAATATCCATCTCAGTTCCAACTACAACAGTGGAAACAGTCAAACAAACAGCAACATTGGACCTTCTACTGCAGTGGTTTCAAATGTGGATGGTACATCGGCTAATAATGTTAGCAGCAGTAGCAGCCTCTCTGCGAACACTTTGATGAACGGGCATGCAATTCCAATAGCGGATAAATCCATGATGTCCCCGGGAAATCGGCATGCCACGGACATACGGACTTTTGCAGGTAGATTGAACATTAAGGAGCAATCTTCGGCATCGGCTAACTCGCCGGAAGGTCGAGTCTACAGGCGAGGCAGTTACGGCAATCCAGCAGAACAGCAATCCGCGATGGCCAAGTCGGATCTACGTAGTATGCCGCGATCGGAACAATCCTCCTCGATGATCCTCAGCCAGCAGATGATTTTGCGACAGGATCCACCGATGGAACACAGTTCTGGTGTTTCTCAGACCGACTTGAACGTGTCCTTGCACACCGATGCACGTGGTGGTAATGGCGTTCTACGAATAGAACAACCGATCGTAATCGCGACTTCACCGGATGGTCGTGTGATGACACGATCGGAGCACGCGCTACGAATAGAACAACCGGTTGTCGGCTCACGAACACCGGAACATGCTCTACGAATTGAGCAACCGAGCGTCATCGCGACTCTACCGGACGGTCGTGTGGTGACACGATCGGAACAATCAGCAAGTGGCAATCTTTTGGCGGATGATTTACGCGAAACGAGACAACCTGTAGATCAGTCTACCAACATTCGACGGATGAGCGCGACGAATGAGGATCCACGTGCGAGACAATCGGAACAATCCACAGCGAGCGGCATTCGTGCATCCGAGGATATGCGTGGAATGAGACAGCAGGCCGATCCATCGTCGAGCAACATTCGCCTGAACGAAGATTCGCGAGGGATGAGACAGTCCGAGCAATCCGCTCGCACGAGCGAGGATCTACGCGCCTCGAGGCAACAACCTACAGAACAATCTACGTCGTTGAATGCGGATCTACGTGCTGGTGTTCCGCGTGGTGCTGGTCAACAGAACGCGAATATTCTGCCGACAGAAGGTGGCCACCGCACCGCGTCGTCTTCTCGATCGGAACAGACGGCGGTGTTTTCCTTGCCCGATGGACGGACTATTTCTATCTCGGAACACATGTCCTCCCCCGTCACGCTGTCAGATCCTCGTTCCTCTGTGTCGCGAATCCCGCAGACCGCGGTCCCGTTGCCGGCTGTACCCACGACACCGCAATCTGTCGCGCAACCAGGTTCCTCGGTGCTGCTCGCTGAAGATGTCAGTCATTCCGAGGAACCCTTGCCGCCTGGTTGGGAGATGAGATACGATCTGTATGGGAGAAGGTAAGATATATATTGATCAAGTGTATTTTAGAGCGAAATTTACATCTCTGTCATGTTCTTTATTAGATATTACGTCGATCATAATACAAGAAGTACGTCTTGGGAGAGGCCCCAGCCTTTGCCACCTGGATGGGAAGTTCGTCGCGATCCGAGAGGTAGAATCTATTACGTCGATCATAATACGAGAAGCACTACATGGCAAAGGCCAAATACGGAAAGATTACAGCATTTTCAACACTGGCAAGGTGAAAGGCAATATGTCGTTCAACAAGGCAATCAGAGATTTCTTTATCCTCAGGTAAGTATAAACTGATTAACTTAAGAAAATAACATTCTTTAAATACCTCTAAAGGGATGGGAACAAATTTAAGTTTTATGTAAAAAAAAAACCAATAATAATTACAATTATATTACAATTATATTACTATAGGCTCATGGAAGTCAAGTTGCTGCGGGACCGTCAACATCTGTGGCTGACGATGACGATGCTTTGGGACCATTACCGGCTGGCTGGGAAAGACGAAAGCAACCGGAGGGAAGAGTTTATTATGTAAATCATAAGAACAGAACTACGCAGTGGGAGGATCCTCGAACGCAGGGTCAGGAAACCGGAATGGATGAACCACCCTTACCGGACGGTTGGGAAATACGATTAACAGAAGATGGAGTTCGTTATTTCGTTGATCACAATACTCGAACGACGACGTTTCAGGATCCAAGACCTGGTGCACCCAAAGGGTATGTTATTGAAATATATGATGTCAAATTAGTACGCTATATAACATTGCAAATATTAAATTATATTTTGTTCCTCTGTCATACAGTCCTAAAGGTGTATATCGTGTCCCACGAGCGTATGAAAGGTCATTCCGATGGAAATTGTCTCAGTTCCGCTTCTTATGTCAGACTAACGCGCTGCCTAACCATATTAAGATTAGCGTTAGTCGGCAGACATTATTCGAGGATTCTTATCATCAAATAATGAATGCAGAAGCTTTCGCGCTAAGACGACGATTATACATAATATTTAAAGGAGAAGAGGGTTTGGACTACGGAGGTGTATCTAGGTATGTGAGACATGTAATATATTTATATAATCGATTTTAAAACTTCTATTTTTCTTATATTTTGATGTTCAGAATGAAAGTATTATATTCTGATTTTCACTTGCTTTCTTACTTTGATATACAATTATATAGCAAATATGAGAGCAACACTGCAAATAAAAAGTAGTTAAAAATTAAATAAAAATTAGTTTACAGAAAAATGGCTAATTTAGCTAAAGAGAATATGGCTTTTATTGTACGTTAATGTATAAAGAACTCTTCTCTTAATACTTATTATTTGATTTTATTATAAGAAACATTAAAAGAAAGCGTTTCTGTTTTCAGGGAATGGTTTTTCTTACTGAGCCACGAAGTTTTGAATCCGATGTACTGCCTATTCGAGTATGCCAATAAAAGCAATTATAGTTTGCAAATAAATCCGGCATCGTACGTCAATCCTGACCACTTACAATATTTCAAATTTATTGGCAGATTTATTGCAATGGTATGATTTTTTATTTAATGTTCTATCTATTTTCAGACTTCTTATCTCTTTTAGATAACGACTTAATTTTCTTCTATATGTATTACTTATAAAGACAATTGTATGCAAAGCATTATCTTATCTTTTCAGGCACTGTATCATGGCAGATTCATATATAGCGGATTTACAATGCCGTTCTATAAGCGGATGTTGAATAAAAAATTAGTTATGAAGGATATAGAATCCATTGATCCAGAGTTTTATAAATCCCTGGTATGGATTAAAGAAAATAATATTGATGAGTGCGGCCTAGAATTGTATTATAGCGTGGATTTCGAGATCCTTGGTCAAGTAATACATCATGAATTAAAGGATGGTGGTGATAAAGTTAGAGTAGGCGAAGACAATAAAGAAGAATATATCAGGTTTAACTTCTTTCTAATAATTGATGATTGCAACTTATACATTTGCAAAAATACAAAGTTTTAATCTTGAATATTTAACAGGTTAATGACAGAGTGGAGAATGACAAGGGGTATAGAAGAACAAACAAAAGCTTTTTTGGAAGGATTCAATTCGGTTGTACCTCTCGAATGGCTCAAATATTTCGATGAACGTGAACTAGAACTTATGCTTTGTGGGATGCAAGAAATAGATGTTGAAGATTGGCAACGCAATACTATTTATAGACATTACACTCGTAACAGCAAACAAATCCTATGGTTTTGGCAGGTTTGTGTTAAATATTCTTATTTTACTCTGAACGCGAATGAGTTGAAAAAAAATACATGAATTGCTTTCAATATCATAGTTCAATGTAATTGTAGTGAAAAAATTTAATGCTAAGATATAAAATCTTTTTAGCAATTATTTAATTATGTTTAAATGTTTACTGAATTTATATTTGTATTTTAGTTTGTAACAAGAACAGATAGTGAAAAAAGAGCTAGACTATTGCAATTTGTAACTGGTACTTGCCGTGTACCTGTTGGTGGATTTGCTGAATTAATGGGTAAGAGATAAAGTTACTTTTTAATTGAAACTAAGAATAAGTCGACCTATTTTAATTTAATTTTATTTTAGATTTAATCAAAAAATTTATATAGAGATTATTAACTAAAAATATTATCAGTTAATAATTGAAATTATTTAATAACTAAAATAGTAATTAATTTGTAAAAATAATATGTATTTTATTATATTATATAACAGGAAGCAATGGTCCACAAAGATTTTGTATAGAAAAATTTGGAAAGGATACCTGGTTGCCAAGATCACATACTTGTTTCAACAGATTAGACTTGCCGCCCTACAAAAGTTACGACCAATTAGTGGAGAAATTAAATTATGCGATTGAAGAAACGGAAGGTTTTGGCCAAGAATAATTGTAATGCTAATTAATGGTATATATTAGGTATGCTACATATTATGTATATGAATAGTGGGCGATACAAACAAAATTTAGAATAGCACTATAAAATCAATGGTGAAATGGAGTCAATGCTACATCTGAAATTTGTTGGGGTTAATTATTATTAACAGTGTAAAAGTTGCAAATATATATAATTAAAGATGTTTATAGGTACGTTGCTCGAAAGATTTGTATAAGGCATCGTAATAATTACATGCAAAGATTTAACGTAATAATCTAATTTAATATCAATTTATTCCAATCTATTTCATATCTTATTGACATTTTCTACTTATAACATATGAAAATTGCATAAAACGTTAATAAGAAATGAAATTTAATAAAGTTCGTAATACATATATGTGTATGTATATATATATATATATATATATATATACATATACATATATATATATATATATATATATATATATATATACACATACATATATATATATATATATATATATATATATATATATATACACACACACACACATATATATATATATATATATGTATGTATGTATGTATGTGCATATGTATGTATATATAAATATATTAGAAAAAGTTAGATGAATATGTACAATTTGTTTCTCTTTATAGCATATGCACGCATCAACCAAAAAAATTACTTTCAATATTTTAAAAAATTGAGTTATCTTTATAAAAATAAAAAAAATAATATGTGTATAAATAGAATGTTACAGCCCAATTTATACAATGCAACTTATCTTTGTGTTTATTACAAGTCATAATTCTATATAATTTTATATAGATAATGGGAATTTATATATAGATTCTATATTATAATACTTTTTACTATATTTTAATATATTTTAAAGCCTAAATAGATTTCGAAAATTCTTTCTCTTTCATAATGTATATTGTACATATTAAATAATTATGACACACATAATTGTGTTATACATTATCAACAATTTTATCCTGGAAAGTCCACAGATAAAGTGTGACAGTAATTATCTTTTCTATATAGCAGATATTAAAATTTTATCTGTATTTAGATAGATAATAGTTATCTGCTACATATAAATAGCCAATAAAAAAGCCAATTACTTTTATTATTTAGTGTTTGTCGTATATACTCCGTGTTAGTGTTATCAGTTATCATTTGAGATCTATTGATTGACGTATTGCATGTTGCCTCTGAAATGTGTGCAAAACACATGTGTGAAGTTACCGTAAAACAAAATATATCAAATATTTTTTAATATATTTACAACAACGAAAATATTAAGACTCTTCTTGAATTGTGATCCTAAACTTGTGTATTTGTTTACTAATTATTTGTATACACACAACATATCTATGCAGTGTACACATAATTATTCGTTTGCGATTGCGTAAACAGATATACATAATGCATTGGGTACTATTTAAATATGCATGAAATATCTGGATTTATCAAGATCGATGTAAGATTTATTTTTTTATACATTATCGGACTATTGAATGGAAATAGAAAAGTGGTGTGTGCCACTTGTCATATTATTTATGCTTAGGTATTTTTTTATGAAAGCAAAAACGTAAATTGGATTAAAAATTTCTTGCAACGTGCTTAATACGTTGCTATCATATTTTGATAGCATTATATTGTTTTGTTATTTTCTTAATATTAATTTATACACATCTATAGATGGACTTCAGTTCTTTATTGTGCACGTATTTGATTAATTTCTCATATTCTGTTTGTTTTTAATATATATGGAAAAAAGCAATGCACCATTTTACAAATTTAGAATTAGAAAAACTATTTTGAAAGCCTTGAATATAAAATTACAAAATTATATAAGTTAAATTATATTTATGTATTTTCGTCTCTTTACATAAAGAGAACCAATCGTAATCAATATTTTAATATTAAAAAATTTGTTTTCAAAAATGTTTAAAACCGTATAGCTTTAAATGTGTGCAGATGCACTTGCGCTGCGCGTGGTATATGGGGTATTATAATTATCCAATTATATATACTTAATAGATAATAAATAAATATTAATATTTAACAATTGAGGTTCTTATACAATGTAAAAACAAATTCTTAATGATAATGTCACTTATCATTTCCGACTTTGGTTTTCTAAGTAAGAGAGAATTTGATTGTATAAACTTAAAAAAATATTTCTTTGCATAAATTATAAATTTTATTAAACATGTATATGTATATAATATATATGTACAGAATATTAATCCACGAAATAAAGAAATTTAGTTAGAAATGAAAATTAAATATACTACCTTTGGTTTAACTAATTTATTGGATATTTAATATAGATTATATATATATACAAAGGAGGCATGTTTCAGCTATTAGGAAAAGGAAACTACTTTCTATTTACTTCACTGTCTGCTATAATTTGGGATCGAAAAATTTTTCCCATGGAAAGCGATTTAAATTTGTATAGTCACTGTCTGTGTTATCTTTTATGGAAGGTGTCCATTTTTGCGTAAAGTCTTTCAACTCGCCTGTAATTTGTAAAATTTCTTTGTATTAATTAGATTATGGCAATTAATAGAATTTAAATATCATCCAGATGTTTTATATACATATTCATACATGCAATTGATGTTATATATAAGGTGTCTTATGTTAAATAATATACAATAAAATATTTCAGAACCACATTTTTGAAAAAAATATTTCAGACAAAAGTTAAAAGAAAAATACATAATCTGCAGCAAAAAGTAAAAGAAGGTTATTTAAAATTTTCAAGATTTTGATATGATCTTTCAAAGCATGAACTGATTAAATTTATTTGATCATCTTTTTTCCCCTTCAAATCCTGCGATTTCATTTAGGTTTTTTTTTAATACATTCTGAGATATTTTATTATCATTTGGACACCTTACATATAGAAGATGTAATGTATTATTGCATACAAAATATATACAATGTTTGGTCATCAAATATAGATGCAATATATAACTGTACATGTTAAATCATTTTATTCAGCTATATATATATATATATATATATATATATATATATTTAATATAAAATACTTTCATCTATTAAATACTTACTTTCATCCATATTAAAGAAATCTTCCGATTTTGTTTCAACACCATTTTTATCCTTTTTTGTAGTGATAACATATTTTTTGTCACCTATTTCTCTTGAAACTATTGTCTCCTCATTACCTTCACTGTCTTTAAATACTTGTTTTTGATCTATAGTTCCATTAGATCTACGTATGATCTCTTTTCTAACAGATCTTACAGTTGAAAAACTATGTAGTACAAAAGGCTCTACTGTTTTTACATCTCCTTTATTCCACATTCTTGAAAATTCTTCTGTAGTAATTCTATATAATGAGTTACATTACATAAATATCTCAGACATAAATTATAAGTAAAGAAAAAATAAATATATTTGGTGCTTACTTTCCATCCAAATCTGTATCTATTTTCTGTTCAGGTGATACATCTGTGATAGGTGAATGGGGATAAAGTTTCAGCATTTTGTCACGTAAATTATCATGTTTATCAGGTTCACCAGATGGTAATGTTTTAATGGTTTCATCTCCTGTAAAAATCATTCATGGAGAATAATGAATTAACAAGATTTTTATAATTTTAATCACTTAATATAATATTATAATTTTATTTAATAATATAATTAATAATCACTTAATGATAATTTTTTAATAATTACTAAAACTGCCTATTTCATTTATACATCTGTATTTTTTTACAAAATAAACTTACCGAAAAATCCATTATTGAATCCAAAAAAGAAACCTTTTAACATATTGTCCATCTGAGATTCAAAGTAACGTGTCATTTCAAGTGGATCACTAAAGATGCTAAAGTGTATGCCGCTTCTAGGATGCCTAGAAAACAAAAAATTTATGTTAATATAAAGTCAATAAATATTGATATATAGATATTGATTAGATAAAAGTATTCTTTACCTAAAATCATCTATGTCGTCATCATCTTCGTCACTCTGCCAAATTGGATTTCGAAAACTGTCTCTGTGCGAATCATCATCACCAAGCCTAAAATATAATAGTGTTGATTAATTGTAGCTCAAAATTGTACAATCTTGGTTTTCTATTCTGATATTATTAAATATAATATAGCACATCTGGATAATGTGAAATAGAGAAAGATGGAGAAAAGAAATATGTTATATATTACATTTTGTAAAATGTTTTTTACAAATAATAATGTAGGCTTTCTGTTAAAAACCTACATTATTATTAACTAATTAAACTTAAAAAATAAAAATAATTAAATTTGGATAAACCAATCGAGTAAAATTCTATTCCAGGATTTATACAATCAATATTATGAAATATGAAAATATGAACGTCAACTTTTTGACACGCACACATTTAGAAAAGTCGACGATCCAAATATATGCAAATGTGCACATATTAATACGTATCGCAAAATACGTAAAAATCTTACCCGCTTGTGCCAGGCTCGTTGCGATGTTTCACGCCGAGAAAATTTCGAAATAAGTCGAAGAATGACATTTCTAAAAAAAAAAGCAGAAGACTGTGCGAAAAACTACAATAACATCACGTCGCACAATGCACAATTGACACAAACTACAACGAAATTGCATCACGTCCACGGTTTACACAAGAACCAAGAAGGGACTCTATTGATCGTAAAGTTATGTTCAAAAATTGTACTTACTCCAAGTATAGTTTTTTAATTGACCAATCAGGATAAAAGGAACTAAATTTTCTTCGCCAGGATTTTATTGAATTATTTTTTTAAATCGTATTAAAAACATTTAATTAATCTTACAATTATATTTTAATCTAATCATTTTTCCATTTCTTTTTTCAAAAATCAAAAAATAATTTTACTAAGTAAGGGGACTAAAATATCTAAATACTCGATTGACATCACGTTCGACGCGCATGCGCGGAGAAGGCACCCGTCTATCAACACCGATTCAGTCCAATTCAGTCGCAGTGTTCAATGGCGATAGAAAGGGAGTAGTCGCGAAGAGGATATCGGAAAATTAGAGAGCGGCATTTTTCGCTCCTCGGGTCGTAGTGTGGTGTGATTTACGTGTTTGTTTCGGCGCCGTTATCATGTAGTAGTTTCGGTCGCATCAGACATCGCACGGGCGAAAAGGTGTGCCGCGGATCAAATAGGTCGACTTGCCGCTTCTAAGAAGCGAGAGGAAAGGGAAGAGGAGGAGGAGAGAGAGAGAAAGAGAAAGAGAAAGAGAGAAAATTAAGGCGGTGCAGCCTGGCAAGATCACGGGCGGTCGTGACACACAAAACGTGCTCGCGAGAAGAGGAGCCCAGCCCGGTAATTACTCGGTGATTATTTAATCACGCCAATTCGCGAATTTTGACAGGAGACGATTCCTCGCGCGAAAGAATGGCAACGGTCACAGCGCGATTCTTTTCGAGTTCCTGGTTTTTTCCCGCCTGTATCGTATAATTTAGGCGCGATATACGTGTGTATACATACATACGCGAACGAACGCGGTTCGTTCATTTGAAATCGATCGGAAAAAGCCGCCCGCGACTCAACGAGCGACACTTCGTCCGCTCCTTCATGGTGGCGGTAGTGGTGTCGCGCATTCCGGCCGGTTACACCTGGCTTGAGAAATATGCGGTTCTGAAGTGGCGATTCTCGCGCAGAGTGGATGACAGACGACTGACAGGTAGGCGGCTTCTGTCAAAGTCGCCGTCCTCGAAGACAGGGTGTACGTACGAGCGCTCCGCCTGTCACTTTCCCATCCGCTGTCACTTTGTCACTTATTCGCGATACGAGATTGCGCGAGTTTCTCTTTCCCGAGGGGAGCAAAAATATCGGAGGTCCTTCTCGAGCGTTCCAGGACCACCTTCTCGATGCCTGCGGGACATTCTGTTATCGGGAACCACCTCGCGATTCTAGGTTTTCTCTGTTCTGGTCTTCCTCGACGCCCACAGTTCGGCCATATCTGATATTGCACATTCGTCCCTGAATGTCATAACGCCTTAGTTTTATTAGAACTGTCATATCTTCCTTTCTGTTGACCCAGAATCTCGAGGACATCGTCGGGATCTGCGAAGAATTGTTTATATATAAGTAATCTTGTACTTGGGAAACTATTTGAATGAAGGATATAAAGATTTAAGGACAATGGCAGAATTTTCTTTTGTGTTTGACAAAACAACAAGTTTTTATTCCGAACGATTTAACTTTATCCACAGTTTTATTTCATCTATTTGACTCCGAAATTTCGAATACGATTCTTGATTATCGTTTACATTTTGCTCCTGATGCGCCCCCATCGCGACTATCAGTAGTCCCTCTTTTAAAGTCCCTACGTTACCGACTCTTTAATAATTCGGCACTACTGTTATATGCCAGGTGCTTGCAATTGTTTGCGGGTCAAAGTATTCGCTGGCCGTAAAACGGACCGACGATCGCGTAACAAGGAGTAACGCCGGAAGGAGGACGAGAAGCAGGGAAGGAAAGAAGGAAGGTGTAAAGAGAGAAGTGAAGGAGAGAGAGAGAGAGAGAGAGTGGACATAAGACAGGACGGCGAGAGAGTGAAAGAAGAGTGCGGGATAGAGCACGATGGCGAGCTCCTTAACGTGGTCGTGTTGCCTGCGTTTTAAATTCAGCCCGGAGGAGATCGAGCAACGTTACAAGAGTCAGGAGATCGACCGGATGCTGGAGAAAGATCGGCAAACGTTTCGCCGGCAAATCAAGCTGCTGCTGCTCGGGGCGGGCGAGAGCGGCAAGTCGACATTCCTCAAACAGATGCGGATCATACACGGGATCAAATTCGAGGTAAGATTCTCAAAAAACATTTGTTTCCCACGTGTTCTCGGTCCGATTCATCCTGCCCATATTTGCTGATCTCAGGATCACTGTAGAGAGTTCATCTCAGGATCACACAGTTCTCTGGGTCGCTCTAGATATCATTCTGTTTTATTCTATCTGGGAACCCACCTGGGAATGTGCTCAATTGTGCTCAATTGCAGAACACTTGGTTACTTGGCCTGCATTTAATTAATATTAGGATATTAAAAAATAATCTTTTGTTAATCATAATTGACAGGAGAAAATGTAGGATAAGCATTTAAGAATAAATAATATAAAAAAAATGTGTGCGATATATACACATATGTTTTGTTTTACAGCAGAGTATGTGAAGATAACAATAAATTTCATGAGTTGTGAAAAGAAGTGCTGTCATTTAATTATAGAGAAACTCTGTCGCATACCACAAATTTAGTTATTTTATTACATTTTATTATTGTATAAATAAATTTGTAAGAGTCAATACAACCTATATATTAGATATTGTTGTTTTATATATAATCACAAATAAATTTATTACCAAACAACACTAATTTACTTATAATAAAGCTATAATTTATTTACAATAAAGCTTTAAAATTTTAAATTATCTCAATAAAAAGATTGATGTTTACTCTGTATACATATATATGCATAGAGATCTGTAATTAGGACAATAAGTTCTTGTATTATGTAGATTTCTCTTAATATTTAATGTCTTTTTGTCACAAAGATGTGCCTCTTTAATAAGACACATTTGATATTATATTTTTTTCAGCCTGAATTAGTTAAAGAATATCAACATGTGATCTACCAGAATATAATTAAAGGAATGAAGGTTTTGGTAGATGCTCGGGATAAGCTAAATATTCCTTGGGAAAATCCTAAGAATTATGATATCGGTTTTCAATTACTCAAATTTGAAAATACTATGGTACTGGATACTAGATTATTTCTGCATTATGTACCATCATTACAAAGTTTATGGAAAGATGCATCGATAAGAAGAGCATTTGATAGGCGAAGAGAATTTCAATTAGTAAGATTTATTTATATCTATAACTTTTGCACATAAAATATATGCATATCTATATAATTATTTATTTTTCTAATTATTTTTTAAATTTTGTATATTGTATCTACATGTGCAATTTGATATTTTCAGAGTGATTCTGTTCAGTACTTCTTGGATAATCTCGACAGGATTGCAAGAGTGGTAATGACTTTTTTACAATAATAAAAATATAATTTATACAACGTTGTGTATATTTTTAATTTACTAGTAAAAAATATATTATTGCTTGTTATAATGTTATTTTTAATTTAGGCAGTTATTACTTAGAATATATAAGAAAAATATTTTTCAGGAATATACACCTACACATCAGGACATTTTACATTGTAGAAAGGCAACAAAAGGGATTTCCGAATTTGTAATACCAATTAACAATATCCCTTTTCTCTTTGTCGATGTTGGCGGGCAAAGGTCTCAAAGGCAAAAATGGTATCATTGCTTTGATTATGTGACTTCTATTCTTTTTCTTGTATCATCATCGGAATTTGACCAGGTCTTATTGGAAGATAGGTATGTTTTATCTATGTTTATATATTCTCTATATACGTATATTTTAAAATAGAATACAATGATAATGTTTGTATTTCAACTTAATCTAGGAGAACTAACAGATTGGAAGAATCTAGAAATATATTTGATACAATTGTGAATAATATGATATTCAGTGGTGTTTCTATTATTTTATTTCTAAACAAAACGGATTTGCTCGATAAAAAAGTGAGGTCACAAGATACAGATGTCCGTTTCTACTTTCCACAATATACGGGCGATCCACATTCCATGAAGGACGTGCAAAATTTTATCCTTGATATGTTCGTCTCAGTCAAGAGGGATCCAAGAAAGCCATTGTTTCATCACTTCACTACTGCAGTAGACACGGAGAATATTAAAGTGGTCTTCAATGCTGTGAAGGACACTATTCTACATCGGAACTTAGAATCACTAATGCTTCAATAATGACATAGAAGCAAAGGAGTTAAGCATAAACACATAAAGCAGCTAGTAAAACAAAGGTACGCGGCAAAAATTAAATATTTAATATGTATTATTAATCCAATCTGTAGTTTTCGAAGAATATATTGCAATACACACACACAGACTAGGTCAAAATACGTTTTGATAAGACAATATATTATGTATGAATACGAATTAAATGTTTACCTCCATATATATATATACGTTTATAGTAAAAAAGAAGAAAACTGCCTGATGTAAAGATATATTAAAATTTTGACTCTATATACACTATATATATATACATATATTAAGATATATTTTCATTGTGCTTTTGATGAATATTGAATGGTTGTAAGGAGATTATTATACAAACTCTATTGTACATAACGATTTATATTCTATACGTTGTCAATAATTTCTATGATAATGAATTGACATATTTGTATAAAGAGATCAGTTGCAAATAATTCAATTTAGACTCTTATGTTTGTATAGATATATGTGATTTAAATACACACATACACAATGCTTTTTTCATTATATTGTTAAGATTATTGCTGGTTGTTATTCAACCAGAATTTTTACATAAACACATGAATATAACTTATTTCTTATTTAAGATTAATTATGTTTATTAACGCACAGGATGTATTAACAAAAAAACCAAATACTAGGTCCAAGCCATATAAACCAAATGAAGCTAACCAGTTTGTGTTCAAATTGCTGTGGAAAAAATTATTCATTAATTTCTTCTTTTTTGAAGAAATAATGCGATATTATTCAATATAATGCTATATTTGAATCTGTTTTGCATTCTATAAATTGATCTTTTTAGACTTCGATTATTATCAAAAGCCAAAATATGACGATTGAAACTAAATTATGATAATTATATTAATCACAATTGTTTCTTTTTTTATATAATATATAACGTTAATTGCAAGTTTTGTATAAATCCTATATATATATTTTAATATATATATATATAAAGCTCACTTTAGACAACCTGTAATTTGCAACAGAATTTGGAATAGAGTTCTATGTGTGTATGCATGCATGTATGTGTGTGTGTGTGTGTGTGTGTGTGTGTGTATTTTTCAATATAAATAAATTATGTTACAAAATTATAGATGTCTAGTGAGCTTAAAATATGGCAGTTGTTTTTCTTGAGTCAAATTGTGAGGTACAAAATTAATTATACATTTTAGAACAGCAGTTATTAAAAATTTTAGTATAACTGTATCATGTAATACAATTTTTCTATTTATCATAATTATACTATTTGTCTGTTATAACTTTGATAATTGATCCTTTATTACACATTTGTGAAAAAATTTATATAAATGATCAGTATTATACTTTTGTCACATTGTGCAAATTGACATTTTTAATTTCTTATGTCTTATATAATTTACAAAAAGGCCAGATTGAAACAGCAATTTGTATGAATTGTCTAATTTAGCATGTCATAAATATAATATTATATTTACATACATTATATATGCATGCTTATTTATAAATTCGATTATTTTATAATTTGTGCAAGTAGATGCCAGTGGAAAAATCTGGCACAATTTGGACTAAACCATTGTATTATACCAAAAATTCTGAGGAATGTATATATTTTGTGTAATCTAAAATTACTGCCAATTTTGTTGTCTGGCAAAAAAGTTGTAATATTTTATATTATATGTATACGTACATGAAATATATCCAAAGATTTTATGTAATGATGTTGGTTAAATTAAAGAATTCTGTGTATATATATACAATGTAGTAAAGTCCAGGAAATTTCCTATAATTGAGATTTTCATTAATTTGCTTGATAATTTGCAATATATCAATGTACATATTATGTTAGATATATATATATATATTATCAGAATTGCATCATTACGGTTAAGCTATTAAAGCTATTCTTTAATTCTATAATTAAATCATTCATTACATAAAATCTTTGTTGTTTTCAAATTGCGAAAGTGTTGTGGTGTTCGGTAAAATGATGTTTACTAACAAGTAACTTTATAATATACACTTCCATTATTAACTAGAACAATATTGATTATGTACATTTATATAAGTTATAATATATACACACACATGTATATATATGTGTGTGTGGGTTAAGACTATTGAAAATTATATATATTTAAGTTCTTACATATATATATATTACATAAACACAAAAATGGTTGATATAATCGGTATATATATTTTGTACATGATATTTTTACATTCCTATAAAAAGTTAATCAAATTTAACTTATTGATACTTTTATATTTGCAAATTTTATATTATTTTTATTACATAATTATCTCAAATATATCTTGTTTTTATATATTATCTACATATACAGGATTGATATATTAATGCTCACACACACACATACACATACACATGCTACAACGAAGGCCTATGATTTTTATATTCAGATTTATAAAAGATATAAAAACATGTATACTATTGACACATTCATCGCGGTAACAAAATGGAAAATATATAATTTTAATAATTATATTTTACATATAATAAAATCTAATTTGATAGAAAGATTTTCTACTTGAATTGTTTAAAAAAGTCTATAAATAGTTCTTGTTTTGCAATTATTAAAATGCTCGGCATTCTGTTGACATTGTATTTAATACATTATTGGCCTATATCTTTTATATATATAGTGCACTGCAATGTTTTATTATAGCTAATATTCTTAACATACAGCGTGACGGATGTATTGTATGTATTTTCTATTAAACTTTCTATAAATGGAACACTAATAACACGAGTACACATGTAATGATGCACATATGCAAATTGTATACTTGAAATTTTGTACTATAGACTGTGCGAGAGTGTAGAGAGTAATTATGTGATAATAATTGTTTTAAAAGTTTAGAAATTTTCAAATTTTACGATAATTTTCATACGTCCAATTTAATTTATTAAGAATGTATTTAATTCATCAAGAATGATATTTCAAGACTTGTAAAGATTATAAAGACGCATTTAAATCAAACATTATCGGAAGTGGCATCATATTTTTTATTTATATCTGCATTCATAAATTCTGGAGCAGAAAAGTGTGAATATTTAAACTTTTCGTGCAACGAGAGAAATTTGGAAAGAATATTAGAATATAGTAGAATACGCGACAACAGTAAACTGCCATGATTTTTTTATCTAATGTATTTTTTGTTTCCTCAATTAGATACTTAAAAGAAAATAGATAAGTGTATTTACGAAAAATTCTGCAATATTTTTTGACATAAACATTATTATACAGATTTATAGCAATAAAATATAATCTACTTAGAATGTTGCTCGGAAATATACTGTCAGTAACACAATACATAAAGTATAATGCTTTTTATTACTTAATATATAGGAAAATAACATCCAAAGATAATTTATGGATTTTTTGATAAAATTAAAATTAATTCTTTTCTTGTAAAAAATTGCGCAAAGAACTTTATAGTTTCCTTCACAATATTTCAATTTTTATTATTAAATATCCAATATTACAAGTTTTAAGTAAAAATTTAAGATGAATAAAAAAGTAAAGCTTTATTATTAATTTTTATTCTACAAACTTTGAATTTTTAATTCATTATTTTTAACTGAAAAAAAAATGAAATTGATGCCTCAACACTATTTTGTTAAAAAAAGTCTATTCCATAAATTATTTAATATCGGACATCTTGTATATATAAGAAACAGATTAAAAAAATCTTTGTAGTATCTATTATATATACTTTCTACAATTTAAAATTTTATCTTACCGTCTTGCATTTTATTGTACATGATCTAAAGAATGTAGATATATTGTGCCTTTTGTACATTGTATATTTGTATATAAAATATATTTTACACGAATTATTATTAAAATGTAGTTTATTTGTACGAATAATAAATAAACAACTTTAATAAAATATATAAATAGTATATCAGTTCACTCACATCATGGTCCGCAAATGCATAATGTTAATTTATTCATTCGTATCAGAGAGATAGTATCACGGATTTATATATAAGTTAGTATATAATCATATTAGTGGAAAATGTATTTGTCAATTGTAAATCATTGATTTGTGATTATTGTATTTTGTCTTTTTTTTATGTGTGACTGTTTTTTATGTGGGGATTATAACATTAATTTTATATACATAATATATATATATATATATATATATATATATATATATATTCATACATACATACATATATATAATATATACGTGTATATATGTTTATATAATATATAATTATATAAATTTTATTGATAAATATAAATATTTAATGTTATTTTTAATTTCATATTATAAATTTTTTATTTAAAAGTATTTAATATGTAAAAATTATTTAATTTAAAAAAAGTTATATTTCTTATATAGATCTTTTATATTCGAAAAATTCTCCGAGTTAATAGGAGAATATATTTTGCAAAGAAGTTGCTATTAGGAGAATATATTTGCAAAGAGCTCTATAGTGCAGTAATATGTCTTTTATGTCCGAAAAATCATCTAAGTTAATAGGAGAATATATTTTGCGAAGAGGTAGTAGGTGATAACGCAGCAAAATGTCTGAAACATCGTCTAAGGTAATAGAAGAATATATTTTACAAAGAGGTAGGTATAGTAGGAAAGTATATTTTCGAAGAGGTAAGGTAGATGCATGTCGGTAATTATGATGGTAACTTACCGACGTTGATATTTTTACCAACCGTCTTTTCGACATACCTCTTCATCTTATTGCTCTTTGCAAATATATTTTCCTAATAGCGACTTTTTTGCAAAATATATTCTCCTGTTAATTCAGATGATTTTTCGAGCGTATTAAGACATAGATTATTACTTGTTAACTGCTTATCTCTTTGCAAAATATAATATATTAGAAATTAGACCACACAAGCGCGCATTGCCTGTGTACGCCATTGTCCATTTTCATATAATGATTTTATTTAATTTTATTTTCATTAGCAAACTATTGTACTATAGTATGCATCAAATGCGCACTTATATAGAATATATAATATGTATATATCAATATAAATTTTTAAATAATAAAAAACCATTTTAAAGTAGTAATTATTATATATTTGTTTATATTTGATTTTTTTATACAAAAATGATATTGCTAATTTTT